AAATTAGATCGAAAGAGTTTAGTAACACAAACTCCGCTGTGGAAAAAAGATTCATGATAAAACAGTTTTTACTAGTAATTCTAAGTGACACTAACTTACTTTTGTAAGTTACTGAAAAATAGTTTGTAATCTGTAATAACGTTTTTGTGTTAAATTTGTATTTATACAGGGCTAAAGTGGCTTTGCCCTAAAAAGGACTTAATTCCAGGCCTGGTCCAGTATCCAGCTCTTAAGTTGTCCAGAGCAGCGTCATCACAGTGACATGAGAGCAGAGGGAGAGAACTCGGGAGGAGGAGGCCATTCTGTTAATGACCACAGGATTTATTCAATAAACCGTTTGCTTCTTAATTAATGCTCTAATTAGACTTCCTTCCTGTCACTGCCACCCAACCACACTCACACACACTGGCTCACACACATACATGCAATGCGAGTGAGGTAGTGACCTTGTGATAACCTGTGTGTTCATTGTTCAATGACTGTGCCCCAGCACTCACACACATGCACCATGTAAGCATGCACTCAAACAGTATACAAAACCACACACACACACACACACACACACACACACACACACACACACACACACACACACACACACACACCTTGGCCATTACCATCCATAGTACAGGTGAGGTGTGCCTCCCCCTGACAGTTGGACAAAGACTCAGATTGAATATATTCATCAGTGGCCCAGCCCACACCACCTTAATGGCCATTGAGAATTAATTAATGAGTGCGAGGGGCGGAAGACACTGCAGAGAGAGAGAGAGAGAGAGAGAGAGAGAGAAGAGAGAGAGAGAGAGTAGGGTAAGCCACTCAAGCACCTTCAAAGAAATACATAATAAATAAACACGTTTAACTTTTACAGGATCCATCAGCTGAAGAGAGAGAGGGACAGGATGGGGTCAGAGGTCAAGGAGTCAGAGTAGAGTCAGGAGAGCGAGGAAAGGTGACGCCCCCCATTTGACTTCTGTTGTTGAGGTCACACTCACTGTTTGATTAAAGGATGAGTGTGTGCGTGGGTCTGACTTAAGCTACCATCAGGCCAAGGTTGTTATAGTTCACTAAAACTAAAATAAAAACTGAAACTATATTTTGTACTTACAAAAATAACTAGAATTAAATAAAAATGTCTTTAGTTTTAGTTTTTGTCTGAACTTTTAAAATCTTGCCTTCATCCCATATTATAATAAAACTAAAACTCGCACTGAAACCAATAAAAACTCAACTAAAACGAAGACTAAAAAACTAAAAAAAGATTCTTAAACAATAAAAAAGAAACTGTAATGAGCAAACCTTCTCTGGAAATTAACTGAAATTAACTGAAATGAAATCCAAACAATGGATCATAAGACAATGGACAGGGGTCAATCTTAGTGACGTGAGTGAATTATCACCAGCTCTTCAGTTCACCTCAAATCTGCGGAACGTTTTAGTGTCTTTCAGCTCATTGTTTTGGTTTTATTGCCTGCAATTTTACTGTTTTCATTTAGTCTCACAGCTTCCATTCACCCATTTCCAGCAGCAGCAGACAGCTGTTTTCAGTTAAAAGCTGTACACTACCTACTCAGCAGCTTCTGATTCTGTCCATGCGAACACTTACCTCTTATTGAGTCCCTCTGGTGACCACCACTGAAGTCAACGGTATTTTTTCAGAGGGGTGTACAATAAAAGTTGTGAAATTATTGTCTATAAATGAATACTTTGATGGTTTGATGCCCCAGAACAAGCAAGTTCTGTTTTTGGACTTTGCTGTTTCTAAAACCCTGTGTACAACACTGCTATTGAGGGACTCCTAAACGTCTGCATAACTGTGTCTTTGTGTAAACACATAGCTTACTTAACACTAATAAAACAGCACTGAAAATGTCAGTTAAAAAGTATAAAAAATGCCAAAAGAATTAGGGTTAGGGTTCTGTTATGTTTAGGGTTGTGCTGAATTAATGTACTGGCTCCTTTTTTGGTTAGGGTTAGGGTTAGGGTTAGGGGTTAGTATTGGTCTGTCTGTGATGGTCTGTTGGGCATCATTTACTGCAAACCACAAAGTAAACATTCTGGCATTAAGCAAGAACCTGAGCTAAAGGTTTGCTCTGGTAGTCTATTTACAGAAAAATATTTGCCAAAAGTTTTATAATCAGCTGATTTTAAGTCATGTATCAAGTGTGAATGAATATCAAAGTCTCGTTCCAGCTTCTCAAATGTGAGGATTTGCTGTATTATTCTGTTTCATATGACTGAGAACTAAATATCTATTGGTTTTTGAACTCATTGTTGGAACACTGGGCTCTGGGAAATTTCTAATCACGGTTTTCCCCTACTTCCTTACCTTAGAGATTGATAGATTACAATTTGCAACGTGACACCTGTGTTTTACCAGCTGAGCTACACTTCATATGATGCATTAGTTTAGATCTTAAGGTCTTTGTAGGGCACATATGAAATGTAATTTATTTATGGGTTCAGTCGACCAATCAGAGTGACTTATGATGCTCTAGTGGAAGTTCAACCAGGAACCTCGCCTCAGCACTCTTCACACACACCTATTATCAGTCTGCAGCCTTTTATCCACTCATTGGACTCCACAGTCTTTCTCTTATGCCCCATCCATTCATCTGTTTTCAAGTGATTTTATTCGATTACATTCTCCTTTTCTTTCTTTGTATTCCCTAATCCCTCATTTCCACACGCATCCTCTCGTCACCTCTGCTCACTTTCAATCATTAAATGTAAAATGATTTAGGTTTTCTCCAAATTATAACAATTACATGAATGAATAAATGAACAATTACAGAATGTGTTTGCTTGTTGGTCTGTAAATCCTAACAACATATCTTAATAAAATAAATAAACTAACATAGCTTAATCCTCCAAAAATGTTGAGTCACTAATTCCCATGAATTAAACCCAACTCATAAATAAACTGCTGAAGTAATATCTCAGTTGTTTTTAGTGCATTTAGATTTGTGCAGTGTTTTAAGTATGGGTGATGTAAAGTTAGTTTGTTCCACTGACTATTTGACTTTGAATTATATATATATATATATATATATATATTTGAATTTATATCGTTACAGAAAAGTAAACCCCCCCCAAAATTAATTGGCTACCATTTTGATAATTGGTAAATTATTTTGTTTTTTAATTGTTTTTTATCATATCTCAGCTGTTTTGACGGGTAATTAATTATTTAAAAATTTTCTTTAGTGGTAGAAAATTAAGTAAATTCGCTTTAAGTGGTAACATCTGTATAAAGAAGATACATTTAAATTATTCCTACTTTATTCAGATACATGTTGATACAACTTTGGAGAAATGCTGCATATGAGTGTGATATACTTTTAAGTTCAATTTGTAAATTTGTACATTTACCCAATATACCGTAACAATTCATTCTTGAGTTACTTGTACTCAAAACAAATGTTTTTTTTTCACGTTTAAATTGTTAGAGATAATACGTTTAAAAGGTTTAAGGCAAGTAAACCTCAAACAGTTTGAGCTGAATTAACTGGTTTTACAGTGTAGTAGGTCAAGGCCTTTAAATACCCTGTTCCATGTACACCATAAACAGCATAATGTATCAGTTTAATACAGCAAATTAATTTACAGTAAATGCATTAAATGTATATAATCATATCCCCGTCATTTTGGCAACTTTTGGTCATTTTTAGGTGACACAATAATGGACGTAAAGCCGGGGGAAAGAGCTGATGCTATTCCTGTGTTTCACTGTCCTGTGCTGCCATCTTGTGGACAATCATAACAGATAACAGGAATGAGCAAGAACAGCTAAAGCCAGAGCTATAACTAAAGGGACTATTGGACTACAAACATGTCTCCATTGAATGCTGATGTGGCTCTGTGTCTGCTGGATGTGTGAATAGACAACTGCTAAGATCTTTATGAGGTAATAATATGTCAGTGTTATGTTTTCAGCATGTTTTTGTGGCCCTTAAATGACAAAACTGGATAAAATAATAAATTGATGCCACTTTAAATATCATATAATGACACATTATTAATGACAATTAAGTAAATATACATGTTAATATAATGTTGTAATATTAAGACAAAGGTGCAGTCTACAATGACTTTAATCACTTTGTCTGAATATTGTGAGTCAGGAAATTAAATTTTGAAGTATGGTCTTTTATCTGTGAAAAGTCATCTTCAGTTTCAAGAAGCACTGACAATAACTTATAAAGGCAATAGATATGATGATACGTGGTATTGACATTATGAATGCTAAATGCTTTAACAATCATATACATAATACATTAAATGAAAGAAGGAAAATTAGACAGGAAAAGGTTGTTTTTTTTATAGGAGCCGACTGGCAGAGGCATGGCTCTTACCATATTACATATATAATAACAAACCTAGACTTTTGGTTATTAAAAACAAAGGTAACAGAAGGCATTTATTTTTGGTACTGTATACATTCAGTTACTTTTTGGACTTGAATGAAAGATTATATGTTTGTAAAATTATATTAAAACTGTCCAACCAACAAGCTTCTTTCTTCATAATGTTATATTAATGATGTTTATTCACCTATTGCTGTTTTCAGCATTTTTATTTTATGCTTTTTATTAATGTAAACTCACGTTCTTGTTTCTTTTTATACTATTATGTTGAGAACATGTATTCATTTGTTGTATATATACGACTATTCCAAAATAAAGTTGTTTTAAAAAGTAGTCCTTATCGGTTGGGGCAATGATCCTGGAAAAACAAGTTTTTTCATAAGCAACATAGACCTGTTTCACAGCAGCCATTGCGCTAGGGTTAATATTCGCCATGTTTTTTGGTGTTGTTGATGTTTGTAGGAGTTTATAAACAAACTCAAACTCAAATAACCGAGGATATTGTTTGTTAAAATATCATTTAATCCTTAACTGACACTGACTAGTACCTTGCATGGACAGCAGGTGGCGGTAATTGTTTTATTAAAGGCAGTAACCCGTTACTGGAATAAACGAAGAAGAAGAAGTAAAGCCATAGCAACGATTAAACAAAGATGGCGGCCTCGGCTGTTGCGTTCTGGCATACTTCAAGCCTCTTCAGTTTATTTCTCTTGTTTCCTGTCGTCACTGCCAACGAAAATACAACGAGCTACAACTTCAATACGACTGTGTTTGGGGAGCAGAACGTCACATTTAACTTTACGGACAATTATACAACTACACCGCCCACAGAGTTTGACTCAACGACCCCAACACCGAGCTCCAGCAGCACAGACGAGCCCGTTCAACCGACCCTGCCCACCGAGCCCCTGCCCGTCTCCGGCCGCCTGCTCACTCCTGTCACCAGCGGTAATCTGTCGTTACACCGCATTACACTGAAACATTCAGTCTTGATATTATATTACAGAGCTAGCCAGCTTAGGTCGACACTTTCCTCTACTAAGCTGTAGTGGTAGTTAACTGCTGTGGTGGGTCACTTAGCTGTTTATAAGCTAACTGTTGGCTAAGTTCAATTAAAAAAAGGGAGCTTTAAAATGACTTCTGCAGTTTGTATGTGTGATGGGGATCATATAACGTTACTTTACATCACTTACCAGTTAGTTCAATTAACTCGTAAAATGCATTACAGTAAGACATGTATCTGTATGTAACGTTAACGTTATATTCCTCTGGTGTAAGGATGTGTCGTAGCAGGTGTAGGTCCTAAATAACCATTTTTATTTGTAGTTATATTACATTTTAAATATCTGAAAAAGAAAAAAGATATCACATAAATCCACGCATAAGCATTACGTGCTTCTATTCACGCATGTACAATATATATGCAAGTATTACAACTATTTATCCATTAACCCATTAGCAAGACTACTTATAAAATAAAAAAAGACAACAGTTCCATGTATACACATAAACATATCAACACATAAATCTACAGACACACATCCTGTATAGCTTCGTAAAATCCAGTGTATATAGTACATTCATACGGGATATAACCACACTTTGGTCATGTCTCCATCAGAAGTAATTTTCAGTTTTCTCCATTAAATTGAGAAAGTGGATAAATGAGCTCTGTAGTGAGAATGTCCCTCTAACCTGTGCACCGTGTGTGTGTGTCAGTTGACAGGTTGTGTCCCTGTGACGAGCACAAGGATGTGTGTGACATCAACTGCTGCTGCGACAGAGAGTGTAATGAGGAGGTGGCTCTGTTCACCGGCTGCTCAGTGGACGCTGTCAGGCAAGTCTCGGAGCTTACGTTTAGCTGTAGCTCAGTAGTAGAGTTACAACAGATGAGCTTCTGCTATTGCTAGGCCACACATGAGTGGCCCTGAAGAAGTAATACAATTGTCTTTCCTAAATTTCAATAGAAATGATTCATAAGTATCCAGGGGGCACAAAGCATTTGCACTGTAAGAAAAGCAGAAACCAGAAAAGACTATTCAAATAATGGCCGAGCTTGGATAAATAAAGGCCAGTCACTACTAAAGGCCGGGTAAGAACTTTGAGGAGGAGTAGAATTACTTGTATTTTAATAACTCACATGAGAAATCCAGTGTGTGATGTTCAAGTAATACAACCTAATTAAATTATTATTTAATGAGCAAGGTTCTTCTGCCGGGTTTACACATGGAAGTAACATCTGTCTGCATACAGTATATGAACAGACTCATCCTTGTTTTGTTTAGCAGTGGCAACAAGCAGCTGTGCAGCCGAGATGTAGCGTCCTACGCTTTAAGGACTACAATAGATGGATACTCTGAGCTACAGTCATCTATCCAGAAAGAGACCAATTATGATATCCTCTGCATTCAGACACAGAACCGTAAGTCATTAGTGGTGTTAATTTGGATTAGAAATGACATATATTATTACTTAAGTCTTAAGATTCAGTTAAATTAATCTTACTGCTTTATTTAAAGGATATGGCTAGTTTTCAGTTTTTTTAATTGCCAGAATATACTTAATATAAAGAAATATGATCATGTGAGAACTTCCCTGTAGGCTGATCTTTAGATATACGTACCACAATCAGTATGCAGCCATGTCACAAAATACTTCATGATACCTCTTTCTCCATCTCAAGTCTGTCTCATTTGCTGACTATTTGTTCCTTCCAGGTGTTGATGGATTTTCTCACCCCTCGCCTGCTCTTCCAACTGACAGCAACTTTGACTCGCTCTTTAAACAATTTACCAGCTTTCTTTTTGGCTCAGAGGAGAACAGTGGTCAGGCGTCCACTGCAGAGCTCCAGGCCTCGTCTGGATACCAGGTGAGTCTCTGTTTTCTAGAAGGAACTGTTAATCTGTTTGTCTTAAACTAAGTATCTAATTATTTTTAGTTAAAATAAGCATGAAATAACAATGTGCATTATCTGCTGGTGGCTTCTGTTTTCAGTATGGGGATGTGATGGTGACAGCGGGAGTGAGTGGACAGAGAGGGATGTTCTGGCTGCCGGCTCCTAGTGTCACTGCTGACTGCATGGACAGCAGTCCTGCAGGTAACTACTCCTCACTGTAATGTGGCACTGTATCACTTTTGCTAAACTGTGGTAATTGTGTGGCAATTATTGGATAATGATGAATGCTAAAACATAGTGGCACAAGTAGGGATGAGTCATAAAGTCAACAAACTGACTCAGTGATGTCAGTTAAGGGCCATCCACACAAATAATTATAACTATAACAAGAACTATAAATATATCTTTTTTTAAATCATTGTAACTAAAATAATGTTGTATTAAAGCTACAGTCACTAATTTTTTATCAAAATAACCTTTTCTCATTATCGCTGACACTTTAACTATATCCTGACAGTAGTATATGACACAGATAATCTGTGTAACAATCAGGTTCCTCTGGCTCCTCTGAGTTCTCCTAAAGGCATTTGCAAAAATCCACTGGGCCTGAACGACAACATAGTTTTATAGTGAAAGTTTCAGCAATAAAAGTTACCTGCTGCAGCTTGAAGGCTGTAAATTACACATAAAACCCTTATTTAAGACAGAGAGATAAAGTAGAGACATACTGCTATGGTCTTTAGCATTAACAGGATCTCTGAAGTCCTTTTTTTTTATGAATAAAACTTGTCTTCAAAGAACAGCAACTGTTGTAACAGAGTGCTGGAAGAAATGGTTGTTGTAAGTTAACTTGCAGAGATGACAGCTCTTAAATCTGACATTTCAGTAGCTGCAGTACCAATTGGTTAGGGTTAACAGAAAAAAAATCTTGTAAATGAACATTTTCAGACTGATTGAAGTTACACCTCCAAAACACCACACCCAGCATGAGGTAAAATTCATTCATAATATAATGTTGAGAACTGAGTTTCTTCAATAACCTACAAGATAATCATTTAAAACAATTGTTTTGCAAAACTTATGCAAAACTGTTTCTCAGACAGCTTGTAACAACACAAGGCAGTTAAGAATGTTATATTTATGGTTGGACCTGCAGAGTTTACTCATGGACATGCTGTTATAGTACATACAACCTACAACACAAGGTTCAAAGTGCAACTTATAAAAGTGAAACACAGTAAATGCTGTCATAGTCTGAAAAACATTCTGTAAAATCTGGCTTATACAGCAGATATTCAGGAGAGTGTTGCTGTTATGTTTCCTCAGAAAATCCATCATGCTATTATTTCATCGCTTATTTGTTACGGTATCTGTTAAAGGAATAATCAGTAGTTTTAGGAAATAGGCTGTCTTATTTCATTATAATTTCTTATTTTGAAAAGATTATTTTTCATTTTATGCATGTTGTTGCTTTAGTTTTTCCTTGTTTGTCTCCACAGCGTTCCTAAAGGATCAGAGCAGTCGGTGTTCCCGGAATGTGGTTCTGGAGCAGGACTGCAGCACTCTGCTGGCCCTCAGCATGGGCACATACACCAGCATCCAGCTCTTCGCTGTGAGTCCCACATTTACTCTGCTTCCTCGCAGTAAATGTCCCCCCTCAAACACTCAAAGTTCCCTTACTTTAAGGAAGTGGAATGATAAGCTAATAGCTGAAGTATTCTTTTGAGTTTTGTGTTTTACTACTCATCCCTTCCTTTCTGTTTCAGTCATTTTCCTCCACCCTGTCCCAGTTGACATTTACCATGAATATTTCAGATAGCTGGAAAGTGTTTCTTAGTGGACTTTTACTTTTTTTTTTTTAATTAGTTCAAAAGAAATCTGAGTCTGTATCTGAAAATCTTTAATCAGTGGTTCCCAACCTTTTTCTTTAAGGGACCCCTTTTCTGTCATTTAATCAACTGACAACCCCTGACTAAGTGAAGTATTTCATATTATATTCAACACATAACAATAACAGTACAGAGCAACTGATAAACTGTACAGTGAACCCAAACAGGGAGACAATATCTGCAGGAGGTTTGTGACTTGGATGAATTCTGAACAGATTATTAAATATTACATCAGAGATGAGTTTTCCTGATATTTTATGGGAACCTTTTATACAATTCTCTGTCTGTATTATGTTTTTTTCTTCTAATTCAGATTCAGTGTTTTATGTCTATATTTCTATATATATTTATATCTGATGCATGGCCATTTTCTATTATGTCTTTGGTTGTTTTACTTTTCTAATGCAGTCTGTTTAGTAGAAAGTAAAGTCACTGTGAAAATAGCTTGTGTTCAGGTATTTAAAGTTTAGGCCTGAAATAATTATCTAAACTTTATCAATTAATTTAGTTTTCTTCACAGAAATGAATGAATGATGTAAATGTATTCTATTAAATGTTTCTGTGTAATTTTCTTAGTTTTCTTACACCCCTTAACATCAAAAAGGCCTTGTGAACCCCCATGAAGCTTTGGCGACCCTTAGTGGGGGTCCCGACCCCCAGGTTGGGAACCACTGTCTTAAAGCACAGAGGAACTCTACAAAAACAGAATTAGTTGATGTTCATTTTTCAAGATGTTTAATTGAATCTTTTCCACTCTACAGGGGAAGAATAAAGATGCAGCTGTAAGTATGCCTACTGTCTGTGTGTTTGTTTAACTCTGAAATCATCAGTCAGTTAATTCATTGATTAAGAGAAAATTAAGTGCCAACTTATTTGGTAATTGATAAATAATGATGAATATGTCAACTTGGCTCTGAGAAATTGTATTGGAATCATTCAAATCAGTCAATAATTGAGAAAATTCACGCCAGATTAATCAATAATGAATATAATTGCCCTGCTGATTTCTTGCTTGGTCACATAAAACTCACTGTATATTATATTTACCTTGTACAAGTGGAGGTTTAATGGTACATGTTATGCAAAAATATGCATATATGTGCATATAGCCTCACTGTATCGCCATGTCTTCACACTACTTGACATTGTAGTTGTCTTTATTTGTCACCTAATCCATGCCTTAAAAGGAATGCCACCATAAAACGCCCTTTTTGAGCCTGTACATCCCATAATGACCTCCTAGCTCAGTGTCGCGTTTTAAACCCAGCTGGAAGGAAGTTTTGGGGAATGAGGGTGTTGTTGGGTGCTATAAAATAATTAAGGAGTTACATAAAAGTCTATGTTAAAAATGTTCACAAGCCACCCAAGACCCCCGTCTAACCACCAAATGTAGCAAGACACTGACAGGCCCCAAAAACATGTCTCCTTTCAACTTGCAACATGCAGTAAGTTAGCACAGACAGCTGGTTGAGGTTAAATGCTGCAATGCAAAGACGGAGAAATAAGACATTTCTCTCATAAGTTTATGCTCAGTTCCCAAGAAGAAGGAAGTCATCATCTGTTACACCACACTGCGCTTTTGCTTTACATTACTGCAGACTATTTATGAAACCATGCTGGCAGTGTTTCATTTGTTAAAATGACTTCTATACTTTCCATTGGTTTCCATTCATTTTAGAATGGTATGAAAATCAACCAGAAGAAGGAGCTTGAAGCTTGATTATGATACCCACCACAGTGAACATCCTGTCTCCTTTTATTTATTTTATTTATTTATGTCAAAAGATCTGACATGCTGTAATGCAATATTTCAATGAATCTGTGTTTTAATTACCCTTTACTTACATATCTGTAAAAAACTGAAAGCAATGGCTGCCAGCAGGAACACACAGTGAAACACTAAGTGTGCAGCCATGCTAGCAGCTCTGAGGCTGCAGTTCGACACAGCAATGCTCCCAGCTACATGCTAATGTCAGCATGCTAACAGTAAATGCAAACATGCTGAGGTTTAGTTGGTATCATTTTCACATTCATAGCATATTAGCATGCTAACATTTGCTAAAAAGCACAAAACACAAAGTAGAGCTGAGGCTGATGGGAATGTCAAGTATTTGGTCACATAAACCAAAGTATTATAGACACAAAGAGGCTGTAAAGGCAGACTGTAGATAAGTCTCCATGTCCTGCATGCTGATGTTTAATATCAGAGACAACCTCTGTAGTCACTTGTTAGCAACTGCCTTGTTTAAGACACGGGGGGATATTTACTGACATATTTTATGTCTTACTACAAAACCTGAAAATCTCTTAAGCTTGTGTTAACCACAGACCTTATTTCAGACATCTGACCAAAAACCATTCAAAAATCCCATACATTTTCTAAAATGCTAACTCAGTTCTGGGTTTTAGGACTCACTTTAGTCTGGACCGGCTTTGCTATGCCTAGCATTGTACAACCTTAACTCTGCAAACTGGTGTAAATGAGAGCAGAGGATGAGTGTGAAAAATGTTTGGGTTAAAATCATCATCAGTCACTACTATTAGTGTAGTTGTTGCTGTGCACCTTGTCTCTGTCTCTGTCCTTCTGTCGTTACCTCTGTTCTCTCTCTGTCTCTCTCTCTCTCACCCCAACTGGTCGAGTCGACCACCCACCTAGAGCCGGGGTCTGTCCTAGGTTTCTGCCTCTTAAAAGGACGTTTTTCCTTGCCCCCGTCGCCAAGTGCTTGCTCATGGTGGTACTGTTGGGTCTGTGTAAATAATGTTATAAAGAGTTCAGTCTAGACCTGCTCTATTTGAAAAGTGTCCTGAGATAACTTCTGTTATGAATTGACGCTATACAAATAAAATTGAATTGAATGTTTTCTTTTTACGCTACTGGAGGTTGTCCCTGTGGAGGTAGCTTCAGTCGTCCTGCAGTCTGTAGATGGAACTCAGACGGAGCTACAGATCAGTGGAGGAGAAAACCTCAGCCCCGCTCTGCTGAACCCGACCCTCTGTGCTAATGTGGTGCTGAAGGTGAGTCAGCCAGGCTCCAACACATGACTTTGTGAGGGGAAGTACCTATATTTTTGTGTTTAATCAGGCTATCTGAGGAAACAGTACAAGTATTTAGTATTTTTCCTTTGTACTGTGTTCTTGTCAAACAGAATATTGGCATTATAGTACACAGGAATGACTAGAATATAGCTGAAATTGTGGACACTCTTGCAAATCAAAAAAGTCCGCTGGACCAATCAGACATTTTTGTCTCTTCTTAGGTTGCCTATGTGATTAAGTACAACCCAGCTGGTGAGATAGTAAATGTGGCGGTGTCCCTGGTGCTGGGATTTTTCAGTGAAGCTGCGCTGCCCCTGGAACAGGAGTTCCATATCACATTCATCCAGGTAGTGTCTCAACAAGATTTTCTATCTGTCATGGAGGGTTTTTCCTAAAAAAGGAAAGCTTACTAGTGCTATGTTGAGCTAAGAACTACTATTTGAAGAAGAGGCAGTATTTACTTACAAAACAGTTTTGTTTTTTAAATCCGTATGATTTAGGATGGATAGATATATAGATATAGATAGATTGATAGATTTGATTTCACAGCCTCTGACCATATACACATACACATTAATGTGACATACAGTCAGGTCCATAAATATTGGGACATCGACACAATTCTAATCTTTTTGGCTCTATACACCACCACAATTGATTTGAAATGAAACGAACAAGATGTGCTTTAACTGCAGACTTTCAGCTTTAATTTTGAGGTATTTACATCCAAATCAGGAGAACGGTGTAGGTATTACAACAGTTTGTATATGTGCCTCCCACTTTTTAAGGGACCAAAAGTAATGGGACAATTGGCTGCTCAGCTGTTCCATGGCCAGGTGTGTGTTATTCCCTCATTATCCCATTTACAAGGAGCAGATAAAAGGTCTAGAGTACATTTCAAGTGTGCTATTTGCATTTGGAATCTATGGCTGTCAACTCTCAATATGAGATCCAAAGAGCTGTCACTATATGAAAAATCAAAACAAACCCATCAGAGAGATAGCAAAACATTAGGTGTGGCCAAATCAACTGTTTGTAACATTCTTAAAAAGAAAGAACGCACCGGTGAGCTCAGCAACACCAAAAGACCCGGAAGACCACGGAAATTAACTGTGGTAGATGACTGAAGAATTCTTTCCCTGGTGAAGAAAACACCCTTCACAACAGTTGGCCAGATCAAGAACACTCTCCAGGAGGTAGGTGTATGTGTGTCAAAGTCAACAATCAAGAGAAGACTTCACCAGAGTGAATACAGAGGGTTCTACACAAGATGTAAACCATTGGTGAGCCTCAAAAACAGGAAGGCCCGATTAGAGTTTGCCAAACAACATCTAAAAAAGCCTTCACAGTTCTGGAACAACATCCTATGGACAGATGAGACAAAGATCAACTTGTACCAGAGTGATGGGAAGAGAAGAGTATGGAGAAGGAAAGGAACTGCTCATGATCCAAAGCATACCACCTCATCAGTGAAGCATGGTGGTGGTAGTGTCATGGCGTGGGCATGTATGGCTGCCAATGGAACTGGTTCCCTTGTATTTATTGATGAAGTGACTGCTGACAAAAGCAGCAGGATGAATTCTGAAGTGTTTCGGGCAATATTATCTGCTCATATTCAGCCAAATGCTTCAGAACTCATTGGACGGCACTTTACAGTGCAGATGGACAATGACCCGAGGCATACTGCGAAAGCAACCAAAGAGTTTTTTAAGGCAAAGAAGTGGAATGTTATGCAATGGCCAAGTCAATCACCTGACCTGAATCCGATTGAGCATGCATTTCACTTGCTGAAGACAAAACTGAAGGGAAAATGCCCCAAGAACAAGCTGGAACTGAAGACAGTTGCAGTAGAGGCCTGGCAGAGCATCACCAGGGATGAAACCCAGCGTCTGGTGATGTCTATGCATTCCAGACTTCAGGCTGTAATTGACTGCAAAGGATTTGCAACCAAGTATTAAAAAGTGAAAGTTTGTATATGTACATATACAAACTGTTGTAATACCTACACCGTTCTCCTGATTTGGATGTAAATACCCTCAAATTAAAGCTGAAAGTCTGCAGTTAAAGCACATCTGGTTCGTTTCATTTCAAATCCATTGTGGTGGTGTATAGAGCCAAAAAGATAAGAATTGTGTCGATGTCCCAATATTTATGGACCTGACTGTATATACCCACATACATACACTACCACAAAAAAGTTTGGGGTCGCCTATTATTGAGTCAATGTCCCCACATTGTTGCATGATGGGAGAATAGTGCTGTCACCTTATATTTTGAATTTATTGTGCAGTCTAGAAAAGCGTAAGTGACCTGAGATCATAATTGAACCACTGAACTGAAGATTTTAAGAACCTGTACTTCTTTGGGCCCTCTGCAGTCTGCAGCCGGTTTAAACTGTGATCTGTCAATCCATAGTATGTTCAGCTGATATTCAGTAGTGCTAACCCTAGATCAACCTTCTGTTTCTATTTTGAAGTTTTAAGAAAAGCATCAAGCCTGTTGGTTCCAGCTTGTTTTAGACATTATTGTGCACTCGACACTGAAACAGGGAGCTGTTCCTGTTTAAATCTGCACAGATTTTAATACTAAGCTTCCACTTTCTTTGACCAATGACTGCTAATCTCTTATATTCTGTAATAACCGTTGTCCTCTCAGTCATCTGACTACAGAATCAAGCATGTGGCAGGCGACCCCAAGCCTTTGAGCGGTTGTGTATGAAAAAATGAGTGCTGTGCAAACTATACATGTAATAAATGACAGCTTGTCATTGTTGAGACTAAATGAGAGTAAGATACGTTGTCTTGTGTCTATTGAACAGGAGAATGTGGGGGAGGTGGCTATCCACTACAGTGGAAATCCAGGTTACGTGGTTGGGCTACCCCTTGTGTCTGCATCAAGAACAGCAGAATATCCTTTACCTGCCTGATCACTGGACCTCGCTCACCCTGATTACAGTGTATGAATAGTAATGCAGTAAAGGGTTATGGTTCTTTAAAGTGTTGAATGAGAAAAGGGATGAAGTTCTGATGTCCTACCTACCCAGCATTTGTCCTTAACAGTCGTCTTCACTGGGATTGTTAGAAGCATCGACCCCAGAGACACTCTGTCTCTTCTCCACAGTGCTGAGGACCAGGACTGTCTGCAAGGACCACAACAGCGCTCACCTGTCCTATTCGGTCTGGACTCTGTGTCCGGCTGCACGTTAAGGCAGGACACCCTAACACTCAATAAATCTGATTGCCATGTACAGGCACAGTGTTTCTTTATGTCTTAATACGTCTGTGATCATGTCCTTGCAGACTGGAAGATGCTGCCAACTGCTCTCTGGTCTTTCAAGTGCTTTTGGACGTACTGCGAGGACCAAACTACCCGCAGTACGTGGCTTCCTTTGGAAACTCCCCATTAGACTATCCATTGGACTGGGTGCCAATCAAGAACGACTTCAGTCCCGGGGTGAGCAGTTTGAATACAGAAAGGTCTTGTCTTTAATGGCTTTAGTCAAATCCTGAATCGGAGAAGTTACAGCCAGGTCAGAGCAAAGTCCAATATCTATTTCATGTCCACAGTACAGATTTCCAATCTGTATTGCTCTCTGATATTTTTGTATATGATTTATTGCAGGTTGATGGTGCAGTTTCCATAGCACAAACACTAGTTTTTGCTTCTTTTTTTAATACAACTTATTTAAATCAGTCTTGCCTTCAGGGCACCACAGGATTCAAAGTCAAGTGGATTTTTTTTCTTTAGATAAAAGAGATAAAACTACTGCATGATGAAAGAAAAGTAATTTAATTTATGGAATGTATGTTCTAATAATGTTAAAGCTCTTGTAAACATGGTTCTGTCACAACAAAAAAAAATACTGGCTTCAGCCTTTCAAAGACATTCAATGGCAGTTGAACCTATACTTTTTGAATATACTGTGCTACTTATTTATATCTCTAAACCAACGCTAATCCTTACTATACATGCTTCTACAGTTGAGAACACACTGGGCCCTATCTTGCCGATCTGAAACGCAAGTATCAAACGCAAATCGCAAGTAGCTTTGTGGGCGGATCTCGGGCGCTGTTGCTATTATGCCGGCGGGATAAATGACTCTTGCGCTCAGCGCAAATCTAAAATGGGTTGGTCTGAAGTAGCTACATTAGTCATAGGTGTGGTTTGGGCGTAACGTGCAATAAACCAATCAGAGTGTCATCTCACATTCCCTTTAAAAGCAGGCGTGCTTGTTCCATGGCGGATTGCTATTATAATGGCAGATTGGCCAGGCGCACGCCAGGAGCGGTTCACAGCCGAGGAGACCAACGTTCTCGTCAGGGCCGTAAAATACAGAGAAGTGACATTATTGACATGAAATAAATGAAACGCAGCCATACAATAAATCCAAACAATGTAACGCAGCTTCGCAGGAAGAAGACCCTGGCCTCGGCAGCAGTGCGCACGGGCCGAGCAGTGCGCAAGGGTCAGCTGAGGAGGGAGCAGCGCAAACACCAAGGTGCAGAGGGTCCAGACCCACTACACGCTGGAGGACCACCCGTTCCTGCAGCAAACCGGGTTTGACATGCTGGAGTGGGAGCTGTCCGGGATGCGGCAAAGTATTAATGCCCGTCTTGACCGGGTGGCGATGTTGCTGCTGCCTCTCAGGCGCTTCCCCTCAAGTCTGCGCCCTTAAAATAGCATCTGAATAAGCGCCACTGACTTTAGACTAGGTTTTTCCTGGTCTGTGGCGGAATTGTTTTCTGAAACAGCAAAATAGCACCAGGGAACGTTTGCGCCAGAACACGCCTCCTCTTTTCGCTGAACCGCCCCCCCGGAGCGCAAGTTCATTCCCTAATTTAAGGACGTGCGTCGGTGGAGGGAAAATTCCAATGTGCGTCGAGTGCAAAATAGGAATTATACAAGCGCCAGTGTACAAAGTCAATTGCGCTGAGTGCAAGATAGAGCCTATTAAGTAGAATATGCTTTGTGTTTACAGGAGAGTTGCAGCATCCCGTTGTCACTTCATTTAGAAATTGAGTGGACAAAATATGGATCCCTGGTGAACCCCCAAGCTCAGATTGTGAGCATCAAAGAAGTGATCCAAACCAACACCACCAGTTTGGTAAGACTGACTTTTTCAGACATCCTGGCAGGACAGAAAAGTACAAAGATGCAAAGGCCATAAAATCATTTCTGTTGTGTCTGAGCATCCCGTTCTCCTACAGGAAATGTTAACCGGAGGCAGCAGTGTCCTGTCAATCAGCAGCTCAGTGGCCTTCATACCAGTTTCTGCTGCTGCCCTTCCTGGGTACAGAGCCATGCCCACCATCGACGCCAAACTACCCTTTGACTTCTTCTTCCCTTTTGTCTGAACACTGTGGGTTCCACTCACCAGTGTACGCTAACATTTACCAAACACACTGGTGCATGCCATTTCTGACAGCAAGCACTGTGTGTTACTGTACATTGTGTGAATACTGTATATTGGATTTTTATAAGAAGACTACAAATGTTTTTTAATAAACAAAATCACTTCATTTATTTAAATGGTTTTTTTTACACAACATACAGTTCTTTTAAAGAATCTTAATCTTAATCTTGAATCTTAAATGTTACTAAGCAGATGTAAATTTCATTTTATGTGCAAGTCATCAGTTTGAGGAAAATATTTACAAGCAAATGAAGGCTGTGGCCTCATAGCTTTAGTGAGTGCTATTTCCATCACTATACTGACAGGAGAGCTGGATATGGATCTACTGATACAGGTATTCAAAAACAGATGATTCTCTGCAGGTAATGTAGTATGGCATGTCTAAAATAAAAGTTTATCATGAAATGTATAGCTTGAAATGTTTAAAACGGTGCAGAAAGGTACATGATATAAATGATAGTGAACAGTAGTTCCACAGTAGTTAGCTTGATGAGTTAGAACTCTATGCCATGCTTCTTCAGGAGGGCTTGAAGTTTCTGGTTCTCTTGTTCCTAAGACAGACAGACAGACAGAGAAAATTCAGTAATACACCACACTGTCAATCTCACAAATAATGTAAACGGACAAAAAGGAAAAAAAAATCTGATCTGAGCCTTTTTGTTTATTTTTTATTTTTATGACTAAATAGATTTTTGTTTTGTTTTGTAAAAGTAGCATAAAGGGAACTCTACGTTTCATTCTACAACCTTGCGTTGTAAATAACAAAAGAACCTTAAATCTTGAGTTAGCAAAACAATAGCTAGCTAATTAACATCAATCATTAACGAATAAGTTAGCTAGCATTTTGCTAACATTAGGCTATATTGACAGAAATAAATATAATATTCATGAGGTATGTTTTCATTTGTGTATAATCACCTGAAAATTGTTTTTATTTTGTTACTTCAGAATGAGCTGTTTTTAACTACAGATGCAGGGTGACCATCCATGGAGTTGGCCATGTTGGACCACCATGTTTCTACAGTAGCCCAGAAGGGCCAAACCAAACACTGGCTGGAGATAGGGGTGTCCATGTTTGCACGTTTAGCTGTTACAGTAGTTTCTCTTTTGTGCTGGGAAAGAGAGGGTGAAGCAACTGAGCTGCGATCTGCAACTACACCACTAGATGCCCCTAAATCCGACACTGGACCTTATAAGATGTGACTTTATGTATATTTATATATATATATATGTTGCTTTTATCTTTTTCTTTAATCAAAATGTGCTTGTCTTTTCAACATAGATTAGCCTAGCACATAGCATATCTAAGTACAGGAAAGGAGGAAGTTGAGCGAGGTTCTGACCAAGGCTTGCTCAACTGTTATTGGAGCACGGAGCAAAAAGGGGCGGGACTCAATTGCAGAAGAGTCAATTGCGTTATCGCCGATCTGAGGGACTTTTGCCCTATGGTGAGTTGCTGTAATATTAGAAACACTAAGGGTTTGAGCCGGGAACATTTGTTGTGAACAACCTGTCTGATCATCGAAACCACAAATAACAATCTTTTCTTCACTACCTCAGTGAATGTGGACCTTTAATATCTGATGTAGTGTGTAAAAATCACCAGTTTATCGTTGCGCTGCTGTAGCTCTGTGGCTCTTTGAACCAGGTGGTCATAGCTCTCCTTCAGCTTGTGGATCTGCTGGTGAGCGCGGGTCTTCACTGACACCAGGATACCTGCAACACATTCAAACACGGTTGTCTCTGTGACTAGCAACCACGCTGGCTTCTCGTGCTCTTTTATTGTGACACGCATATTTTCACCGCACACTCACTGACTTTAACTTATTAGATCTATTTTGCCACAAATACGTAAGGGTTTTCTGGGTGATGACGATCTTCACACTGGGTGTGTCTGCTTGTATTTGAGGGTTCGGTTCAGCAAACTATGACAAGATGGTAGTGTTTCGTATGAGATATGTTTCATATGTCAACTTCCCACCAAGTATGAGTTTTTGATTATAATTGCTGTGTGTAGTCATATTCTATTCTTAATTTTATTTTCATTAATCATTTGTTAAGTTTTAATTTTTTCTGTCCATGTGCTGCTGTAACACCAGTATCTTAAAAGTAGCAGAACACTGGCTGACGGTAGCCCCAGTTTGTTCCTCTCACACACAGCTGCTGGTAGCGTTAGACTGATAAACAACGGTCATTCCTTCTAGTTTAAGAAGACATTTAGTATTATATATCATTACTGACGGTAACATGAACTGCGACGAAAGCGGCTATGGCTATATACTGACACGATTTTCAGATGTGTTCTACACCCTGCGCACTGTTTGGCAAAAGTTTTACTGACTGTTGATAATTCTGGCCACTCTCCAGAGTCGCAGCAGGATGAGGAGACCCATCCCATCAAAGGCGTCCTCGTGGAAGATGAAGACAATGTCCAACACGAAGGAAAGTACCACCACCAAACCGTCAAACACCTCAAACTTGTGCTGGAAGAACTCCAGTTGATAAGCAAACAGCTTACCAGCCAGCTCCACCATGAAGAATGTGAGAAGAGCCAAGCTCAGGTAGTGAAACACCTGAAAAAAAAAACGATGAGTCAGTAAATCATATTATATAAAGGTCTCGAAAATAACTGAGTAAGTGGACAAATGTGCGTCTCACCTCAGGAGCAAGATGGCCGTGTTCCAGCTTAATAACAGACAGATCTATAAGCAGCTCCGCCAGAACAAAGAAGGCATCCAGGATCACCAAACACACCACCAATATCTGGAAGCAAAGTCACACAGTCAGTAGAAGGTGCCTCTCTTCATACGGCAACTGTTTTCAAAAAAAGTGCCTACAGGACAACTGAACTGATCTGACTTGTCAAAGTGTGTTTCATATGTTTACATCTTTAGTGTCTCCAGAGGAAGTGTCTGATAAATGTCCTCAAGTGATGTCACCTGACTCAGCATCAATTGGGGGTGAAAACTACAAGTTTGAGCATTAAAGAAATTCTTTGGTGCAGCGTTAGAGCTCATCAGACCTCTGTAGCTCACTCCTTATCTCTGCTACAGGTTGAAGGTTCCAGGCTACATTAGCCTCAAGTTTAGCATTATGGCCGTCACCATGTCAGTGTTTTTGGAGCCAGCTGAAGCTGCGCCTGGCTTCAACTCGTCCGTAACAGGAAACAATTGCAACCAATGGAGCTGCCCCCTGCTAGCCATTAGAAAGAATGCAGGTTTGAGATGCAAATTCTGGTTCCAGTGTCTTATATGTGACAATCTTCTGCTTTTCAAAATCAGAACTCAGTTTATTGGCAACTGTGTTTTTACATACCAGGAATCTGCTTTGGTGGATTGGTGCATAACAATAAACACAATGAGCAGAAATATATAAAGAAAGGTAAAAGCATGTACTAGTGAGTCAAGAAGCAAGTAGAAAAGGTTCTCATGTTTTACAGCTTTCATAATGACGCCTGACTGATATTGCGCTACCAACAGATTAAAAAAGACCAGAGTGGCGTACCTGAAACCGGTCGGAGATGTAGAGTCTTTGCAGTGACTCCCTGAAGGTTAGCGCTTTTGGAAACTGGCCAGTGGCCGGGCTCAGCTCCTCGCTGGCCACGTGCAGCTCTTCATCCTCCTCCTCAACCGGCTGCTTGTCGCCCACGGTGGTGAAATACTTCAGATAGCGAGCCATGATGGCAGGCTCTACGAAAGGAGTGGACCACGTCCCACCTCAGCTTCACCTCAGAGGGAAGAAAGGAAGAGTGCACTTCAGTTTAAAGGTGTGTCAGAGGCTGTATAAGATTACACAGCTGTTTAATTATACAACTTCATACATTGCAACTTGCAAATGCTTTTCTGTCATCTCTGGTTGGCTGTGCCACTCAATAATAGCAACAAAGCTAAATATTTAAAGCCCCCCTCCAGTCAGACATCAGTGTTTCTCCTTGTCCCTACAGTGTGCTGTCTGAATACTGTCTGTGCAGAGTTTGACTCTAGAAGGATGTTTTCACATTCATCTGCTGAAAGTGGAAAGTTTCTCTGTGCTCATTGAACATCTGATTTTAAGGGGCGGGGCCTACCAGCATGATTTGTGACATCACACATAGTTAGGTAGTCAGTCCTGGTCCAGTATGCAACTTTCACAGTGTGATGTAGAAACTTAAAGCCACCAGTGCACATCCACTGAGAATGGACTTTACAGTGAAGGAGGAGACATCTTGTGTCCAGCAGCAAAACTTTAGAAACATTTTGAAACATTTGCATATTCTGGAAGTTTTACCGAGGTAGAAGGAGGAGATGTTTTAATGTGGAAATTATACTTTTTTTAGCTGAAAAAATATCAGACACACATTGTTCTAAGCAGACTTTTGTCTTTTCTGTATGTCTTAATACATTTCTGGAGGGAAGCTTTAAAACTTTGCAGGCAAGTCCCTGGCAGCCTTATTGACACTGTTTTTCCAATCTTCCTCCCTGAGCTCTGTAATAAATGTCAGCATCTGTGCAGATTTCTCCATCTGTTGAACAATCTGAGTTTACTTCTCCTTTTTTAGGTTTGCAACATGTTATTGAGAAAGCAAACCATCTCAGTCTGGTGTCAAAAGGAAGCTGCAGGCTGAGGGGAAAAAAGTCATGAGACTGTACACAATCGAGGTGGAAGACATCCACCAAATATCAGAATATTCCACCAACCCATTATGAAAGGGACATCCTCTATATTCATAGTTAAATAACATCAGGACATGAAGATTGTTGAGTCTAGGGGATGAATTATTATGGGGGGATGATTATAAGAATCATTCTTGGCATATCTTTTGAAACTTTCCTTGTGCTCTTAATGTTATTTGCAAAAATCCACTGTGTCTGAACAAAAACAACCAATCAGACCAAGGTAGTTGATTGTTGAGTCTCATTCCCAATGAAACTCATCAACTATCTTTAAGCCACCAACTCAAAGTGTCAGAATCTGACCTGAGAATGAGACTCGTCAGTTGTTTTTGTTCAGGCCGGTGGATTCTCTGATTATCTGTCTCAACACAGTGCACATTCCAGCAATAATGACAAAAGGTTATTTGGATAAAAGTTACCTACTGCAGCTCTAAACCTGAATCTGGAGACAAAGAGCAGCACCAAACTCCACTCATATTTTGGTTAATTAAAATGGCAGCTTTAGAACTGTTGAGCTGAGCACAGGTTGCACTTGAACAGGGTTTTAGTCTAATGGTACAGCAAACAATCCACCAAAGGTAGGCATGTATTGCAACTAAATCTGAGCGTTGGTATTTGTATGCATATGTGCATTCCTCCATGAACATATGTTAGAAAGCTGTGAGAGAACAGGGTCTTTGAGGACATGTCACGGTCCTATCTGTTTAGCCATTGCGCAGCTGTTGGACAGAACGTCCAACTCGTGATGAAAACATCCGTCTGATTGGTTTGGCCAGGCCAGCGTTTCCACTGACGGTGCGCTCCAACAGTGTGGGTTCGGCGGCAGGAGAACCCCTATCTCGTCAGAACTGAGGTCGTTCGTGCGAGTGGACCGCTATATCAGATTAAATCACTTACCTTTTCCTCTCCACTTTGCTCTTGAAGTCTTGCAGCACTCTGCTTTCCTCAGAGAAAACCTCTGAGCTCAGTAAACCCCACACAGAAAAACTCCGCCTCCGCTATGAAACCAGCCCCCCCCCGTCACTGTCCGCCAGTGTCCTGCAGAACTCCGTTAACATTTCTGCAACTTTTATGTTGTCTCGCTTAGCTGTTAGTACTACACTTGAACCTTTTATTCGTTAATTATAAACTACTTGGGCCTATATATGGTGTTTACGCTACAAAACACCACTTCCAATGAACCACATGTATTGTTTCCACCATTGTCCCAACACATCCACTAAAAGGCACCTTAGACAGCAGGTAGCGTTTCTAAAATAGAAGTTCCTATAAATGCTTCTATGTAGATGACATACCAGCCGATATAGAGTGTAGCATAATTGTATGTTTACAAGCCAATTGGTATTACATTTCCATATTGTTTAACTGAGTTTGCTATAAGATAACGGACCTGTATGAGCGGTCTTATTCTCCCCAGAGGGATTTGACATCCTGTTTTCTACTGTGTTTTTGTCTTGAAATTTGAAACAACAACAACAAGGAATTTGTTATCTTCTTTTTTTATTTAAACTAAATTCAGTGCATCTTATCTCATCATCTATTTAAATAATAATAATAATAATAATAATAATAATAATAATAATAATAATAGAGTTAGCGCATGTAAAGCCTTTCTATAAACTATATTTGGTGTGGGTTATTATATGCTGTTGAGTTGTGCTCTTCCAGCCAGTACTGGTACAACTCACTCAGTAATTTTCTGTTACACTGCCACCTACTGGCTATAAGTAATACTTGGTTCCCTTTTATTAGATGCCAGTTGATGGCTACTGAAGTTGGTATTTGAGTTGAACTGGTCTTTTTTGTTTCTGGCTCTAGTGGGAGAGATTTTTGTCTCAGACAAAGCTCTTTGTTTAAAAAATGTATTAAATTATTATAAATTTTTCCTTTATTAGATAGTGTACATGGGTTTACCAGGGCGTTCAAAAGAGCACATGCCTTCATGGGTAAGGTGTTCATTCTCTTTTATTATTATTATTATTATTATTATTATTATTATCCTAGATGAGACACTTGACTTGCAGTTAGGGTCACACACACATAAAAAACAACAAAAACTCAAATTAATCCTGTACATACAATATACAGTAAACCATAATACAACAACAACAATGCAAGATGCTAAAATAACACGTGGAGGGACAAAGTAATACTATGATGTGTTAACAGTTTGTTCTTAAGCTATAAACCAATCAATGTAGCTTCAGCCATCCTTTTAGTCCATAGATAAAGCTATATTTTCCATTTCCTCCTCCAAGAGCACTGAAAGAGACTAGAGGCATTCTTGTTACCATGTTTTTTCTTTTTTTTTTGGCCTTCTTTTTAACATCATATTGCAATTATTTTGACACATATCTTGGGATATGATTCCCGGTTACTGTGGGGATGATCATTGTTGCATCACAAATTTAATGTTCACTGAAAAAAGCACTATAAAAATCACTATGATGTCAAATTTGTTGCGCTCTGTACCAACATGTTTTTTTTTATTAGATTTGTAGGCCAGCGAATGAATCTTCATTATAATGCTGTTTGTCACATTTGACCTTTATGAAAACATACTACAGCCTCTGTGATCTGCATATTGCACTTGGCCATATTGTGATTTTGAAAATATTTTGATTAAAGGAGACATAGTATGTCCCTTTTCAGGTTCATAATTGTATTTTGTGGCTCTCCTACAATAGGTTTAGATGTTTTAATGTTCAAAAAACACATTATTTTTCTCATACTGCCTATAGCTGAACAGCTCTTTTCAGCCTCTGAATCGATCGGGTTTAGCTCCTGTCCCTTTAAGGCCCCCCTCCCAAAAAGCCCAGTCTGTTCTGATTGGTTGGAATGATGACGCGGATGACGCTCCGGCCCCTCCCATTTCCGCCTCAGCGCTGCCGGCAGGTAGCTCCTCACTGCTACTGAGTTTATCTGCATTTCTACCGTCAATATTTATTCAATAACTGCTTCTAAACCAAAAACTTCACCAGCGGACATGTTAGAGCGGGAGTCTGACCTGAAATCACAGAGAAATGAACAACATCAACAATCAGGATTACAGCTTTCTGTGACGTTTTCCTCAAGTAAATACTGCTATATTAACTACATATACATACATATAACTAAAAATATATATATATATTAATATATATATATTAAAATTTATCTATCACATAATGTTAGTGTTTATACCTTAACTATGAGAACCAACACTGTGTTTTATGCCTGTCTTTACAGGTACAGCAGTGAGCAGTGACCTACAGTCTATACAGCCCAGTGAAGTTAAACATATTATATATTACATAATATTAACAACATTAGTCAAGCAGTTGTTTCTAGTGAAGAAACAGCCAGTAAATGTACCAAAGTAATCAGAGTAATAGTATAATGATTACTGTAACCTCCCATCTGTTATATTCTTTATACACATTAGTTTACTGAGACCATGGAAACAGAAACCTGGAATACTTTATCCTGTACAACATGTCAACATAACTGAAGGAATTACTCATCTAATAAAGTAACTTGTTCATGTGGTTTAAAAACTGCCAAGTAACCAACTGTTAACTGTACTGTATCCATATTTCATAGTCTGATATTTTAACTTGAAAGTATTATTACCAAAGTTAACCTTCAGATATTTGTAAAAGCTGCAATTATGTTTTACGTTTCAGGGCTCAAGAGTGCAACCAATTTGGTCGCACATGCGACCAAAATTTTTAAGAGTGCGACTAATAATTTTTCTAGGTCGCACTGGTGCACCTGACGCTGCCCGAATGAAAACATAAATTTATTTCGCAAGCACATCATCTCTCTGTGTTCTCCTGTGACCGAACTCACACACTCATGGTAGGATCATATCCATATCGTGTTCTAAACCAATAAGAGACAGAGCTCGAGCGGGTCTTTGCCTCTGATTGGCTGTGGTCCTGTTCACCGCGCTAAATTGTGTGTGTTTAAAAAATTGCCGAGCCCCGGTCCTTCGGCGACAGCATCAGACTCGGAACCAGAGGAGGAGATAACCGAGTCTGGGATAGAGCCCGGCTCCGAGACCCAAATTAAAAAGGTCAAAATATATTCCTTCAGACAGGACTGGCTGAAACTATTTCCCTGGCTGAGGTTCAACAAAGGATGTAACGCAATGCACTGCGTGTACTGTCAGGGGTACGGTCAGAATATGGCCGGAAATAGTGCATTCGTGAGCGGGTCAACAAACTTTAAAAAAACATAACATGTCTAAAAAAACACACGATATGCCGTGACAAGTGCGTAGAGAAAGTGGCCCCTCTCCCAGCTGCATTTCAGCGGCAGGTAGTAGTAATCAGGTCCTCTTTAATTTGTAAATGTTTTATTTTGCTTAGTGTTTTAGTTTGAAATATTCCATTTCAGTTCAGTGAAGCACTTTAAACACTTTATTTTCTTTTTATATATAATTGTGCTTCAAATAAAGACAAGCATTTCTCTACACCTTATTCTTGTTTAAAAATCATTCACATTATATGAAAGTTTTGGAGAGCAATAAAAAGGTGACCTTATGGCGTTAAAGGCAACGCAATGAAAAATTTGGGTGCACCTACATTTTGTGCTGGTGCACCTAAAAAAAAAAGTTAGGCGCACCAGTGCAACCAATGCAAAAAGTTAGTCTGGAACCCTGCGTTTTATTTGATATATTATGATGTCATTTATCTTCCAACATAATAAAGTTTGAATGTGAGACAGTAATGTATTGTGTTGCTTACAGTCATTTACTACAGGTTTAAATTTCACATTTCCATATTGATAGATGTTACACGAACCAGGGTTTCAACTCTTTTACATGCAGGAAATCTTCATAACCTCTGTGAAATAACATGTTATTTCTATAAAACCACACTTATTACTGAATTTAAAAATGACCAAAACTCTTCTTAAAAGTAAAACACTTTATTTATGTTTCATTCATATTCTAGTGACACATGTTGTAAGTAACAAAGCTCTAACTTTTTTGGAAAGTGTGCAGATCGTGTCCTTCATCAAGGTATCTTAGGTTTCTAGTATATTGAAGTGTGAGCTGGTAATGGAGCTCTGCAGTCAGTGTTCATCTTCATCAGTCTTCCTTTGGATACCCAGACTGTCCTGATGCTGCAGCTGTCTCTGTCCTCTGATGAGTCCAGGAACACCTGAGCTTCCTCAGGTCACCTGTAAAACAAGGCAGATTCAGTGTTAATTGTAAGGCAGCATATAATATACAGTATAATATAATATACAGTATAATATAATACAGTAATATTAACATACAAGTACAACAGCTCATTGTGGCTCACAGTAGTCCTATGTTATAAAATAAAATAATAAAGTAGTGTCTCAGGTGGGTCCCTGGTTGCAGCTAACTGTAGTGATGTGTTGTTGAAACAGTCTGAGGTTACCAACACAATGTCTATCTAATGGCAGCAGATACACACACAGGACATTTACTGACTGTAACTGATGTTGTGACAAGTTGCCGGTGCAATAACAGACATTTAGCAGTGAGCCTCAGTGTTGTTTATAATACAAGAGGAGATGATATGAGTATGAGATGTTACACTGGACCTGCACTTATATCTTCAGTAATACCAGTACTGCAGTAACACAAAATATATGGATCAGTAAACTTTTATTAGTCGCGGTTTGACTCCACAAAAAGAGCCTAGTGAGCATCAAAGTTACACAATAATACTAAACTGATGAATCCCTGCACTTTGACTATTTCTCTCTCACAGTAGCTCTATCCTGAACTCCGGTGCACGTTGAGCAAGTTAATTTACACACTGTAACACACACACACACACACACACACACACACACACACACACACACACACACACACACACACACACACACACACCTGAACGAAGCAGAAGTACAACAACATGAAGTGGTTCACACACCTTCCGGTTTTTCTGACTCTAGTCGGACATTGCCCTCAAAACTAATTGACACAAATTTACATATGTAAATTTGTGTCTGGCTGTGCAGCCAATGACTGAACAGTTTGTCTGCTGAAGCCTTTGCCCAGACATTAGGCTGCAGGCTGCAGGCTGCAGGAGGCAGGCTGGGCTGCTGGCTGGGCTGCTGGCTGGGCTCCCTTGTTCTCCGCTAGCTTGCATTTTATAGTAACAATGGCGGAGGTCCGATAGTCAACAGGAAGTAAAGTGAGGTGGGTGGCAACAGGCAGAGCAGATGACGTCAAAAACTCTGAACCTGCGTGATTTCTCTCCTGTATTCTGACTGAGGCAGCCCACAAAAACATGACTGAGTCATTTTTCTTCACACTTTGCCTGCTGATAGGCCCTCCAGAGTCCCAAATGTACATAATCAAATGATTAAAAAGTTGGTTTTGCATAATATGTCCCCTGTTATTGTACAGCCCTACATAGAACTGGGTCATATGTGATCAAGTTCCTCTGTATGCTGTGTAGCATATTACTCTTTACCTCTCTGTATATAATGTTGTCCAATTAAAGCCATAATAGACTCTCAGTGAAACTGCTCCACCGCTCTACCTTGGTCACAGATGTGGTTTCTACTTGCAGGTTTAGACCAGTCAGACTGCATGCCTTGATAGCACAGTATGATAGTGTGGCAGCAGCCATACACAGTACAGATAAAGTTAAGCAATGTCTACTCATTTCCTGACTATGGTGTGTGTGTAGGACTTCCTCCATACAGACCAGAAGTGAGCTGCTGGAGTGACGGACATTTACGGGAATCTGTTCAGTAAGTGTAACTGATCATTAAAGACCTGTTTACTGGTCTGTTTATATAGTATCAGCCTCACATTTAATAACTGGTGAATATTTAATTAGAGCTTTCTTCATCCATGTAAATAATTTGATCTTATTTGAGTATATTGATTATTTAAAGTAACAGTTTTAAAAGTGTTCCAATATGAGAATAGAAAGTGTTACACTATAAGACCAGCAGATTATTGGTTCATTATGCAATCAATTCATGTGTACAGTTCAGTATGATGATACTGATCTCTGTCCCTCTTTTTTTATATTGTTTTTAACAGAGTGGCAGCAGGTTTCCAACATGGACAGGTACTGTAGTCAACACTTTACATTACTTACCTGTTGAATTAACTGATTGAACTGTTTACGATGCTTTACTTAATGTGCCTGTCCACACTAACAGCGTGGCTCTGTATGTCACTGTTGGGTGGTCAGTCGGTCGGCCACTGAAATATTGACACTCGCAAATGTTGCATGGACCAGCACTCAAGAGATTGTGCAAAACTACTGACAATCAAGGGTGTTTCATCACGATACGATACTGTATAGATTCTTAGGACAATATCACAAAGTCTGCCGCCATATGATGCTGATATGATTTGGGGCCCTGCGATCTAAAAAGGCAACTAAAAAAAGCAAGAGCAAAAATTATTTGAAATTTTTATTGCTGAATTCTTCCAGACATTTGTTTTATCTCATAATGCCATTGTTTGCATATGGCACAAAATTCCACACAATATAAAGATGACAATATAAATCGATGTTTTCACTTTGTATCAATATATTGGATTGTTGAAGATCGATGTATGGTTATACCTCTACTCCTTGTCAAGGGATCCACCTCTTACATTCAAAGATGGACACTGTCCTCCTCAAACAAAGTAAGCTTAACCCATTAATGACTATGGACTACAGTATATTAAGTATGTTAAGGAGGAGCCTCACAGAGGTGGAAACACTCAATTTGCTGTACAAACTGTCAAAACATGTCATGCACATGAGAATATGTAAATTTATTATGCTTCAATCGGTAGACAATATAGATTTTCTTTTAAAAAAGCAAAAAAGATCACAAAAATAAGTTTGGATCAAAGCACATATTCTTGAAACTGAGGTTGTTCTGAATCCAGTGGAAGGATTTGATATAACACCTTATAGTTTCTGAGATACAGCCACTTCTGTATCCTACAGTATTTAGTTAGGGTTAGGGTTAGGGCTCATTTTATCCCACAGGAATGCAATATGAAATGTTCTCCACAATAGCAATACTGGACCATGGAAAAACAAAAGAGAATATTTTTCTTAATGTATATGTATTGTAACAATCCAGAATAGCTGCTTAGCTGTGGACATGAATGGGTTAAAATAGTTTTAAGTATGCATATAGTTTTCAGCAGGATTCTTCAGACATGTTGACTTGCCATTACAGCCAAAGCAATGTTGTAACTAATATCATTAATAATGGCTCCAAGCCCTCTAGAAAAGTGAAAGAAACTCATTAGACAAAGCCCTCAGCAGAACTACTGTGTCCATTCTCACCTCTGTCTATATGTGCAGGATCCATGAGGAGAGACCAGACTCCCCTGAAACCCGCTGTGCATCCAGCGATGAGAGTTATGAAAGTGACCACTCAAGGGATCCACCTCTTACATTCAAAGATGGACACTGTCCTCCTGAAATGAAGTAAGATGTTAATAACATTAAATAAGGATGTAACGATACACTCGTCTCACACTCGTTATCCTTTCTTTTCTTTTCATGTGTTTTTTATTTCAATAACATTAGAACTTTAAGTATTATGACTTAATTCTTGAAATCTTGCAGCAAATACTGCAACAAGTCTTTATACGTAAACAAAAACATAGACCCTAAAATCTAAAATGATCATACAATGACTCAGATTTTCAGATTTTATTAAACTCCAAAAGTGTCATTACATTACATTACATTCACTTAGATGATACTTTTGCTGAGCTATTTATATATAGAGCCAAAATTGGGAGCATATCCCTTTTAAACAAATAATTAATGCATGTTCAGTGTTATAGCAGTTAAGTTATTGTTTAGGAATGAGACATAAGTAACTGGACTGTTGAGTTGTAGTCTGAAGAGGTGGGTTCCTGTCCTGCAGAGAAGAGCCTGCCAACCAGATTTTGAACAATATGGCATTCTTAACTTTCTAGTTGGATATTGTCTTGGTTATCCAGCCACTCCTGTGGATGGACCATGTTAATTTCCTGTCCTGGTGATGTTCCTCTATGTCTGTCAGGATCCATGAAGAGAGACAAGAGTCCATTGAAACCAGCTGTGTGTCCATGAAGAGTGACCAGTCAAGAGAACCTCCTCTTGTATTCAAAGATGGATGCTCTTTTCCTGAAATGAAGTATAAATAATAAAACTGATACTGCATTCACTGATGTTCTCTTATCCCATTTAAGGTGTGTGTAGGGTAGTGTGTAGGATTTAGTGCCATCTAGTAGTAAAGTTGCAGACTTTTACGCGTACATTCAGTGGAGTTTTTTTTTATAAAGATCTAAAGCAGCCTCAGTGTTAGTACCCAGCCAGCATTTGTATGTGGGGCCCAAATATACATGTTGGCTGGGTAGTTTAATGCTGTGTATTATTCTGTAAGGAATGGATCATGGGTAAAATTGAGCTAGAATACATACCATTGGCTAATACTACATGCTTTACTCCATGTGTACTCCACAGAACTGACCAGACGAGGTCTGAGGATCCCACTGATGACTCTGCCCGAATGCACAAATCTGACCTGGACTCCATATTTATGGTGTGTAAACAGATGACAGTGGATTTTACTACAATTAAATATGAAAACAAATCTGATTACAAGAATGCCACACCCACACCAGTTAGACCAGTCAGTTGAAATTTAATCTTGGCTGTGTTGACAACTAGGTGAGGGGAGGACCTAAGTCTTTTTCCATTGAAAAACTTCCTCCAGCTATACCCTGGGCAACCCTAGTCACTCCCAGAACAGCTGGGAGACATGCTAAAAAATAAAACCCCCAAAGAGATATCAGAAAGAACCTCACCCAAAAAAGGGAGAGGGCTCACTCCTGCAGTGAGGTCAGAGAATCACGTTTGCTGGGTTACCTCCTATAACCTGCACCTGGTCTCATTACCTGCGTGGTGAAGGGTAGGGGTTAGGTTCAATACAACAGATTGTTCAATGAGTGTAATGTTGTTCCCCCAGGTGCTTGAAGAGAACATTGTCACTTTTGTGAAGAATGAGCTGAAGAAATTTAAAAGGGTTCTGACTCCAGATGACCCAAAATGTTTGGAGAAAAAGAGGGAGGATGAGGATGTGATCGATACTGAGGAGGAGGAGGAGCACAGAAGGAGGAGCAGAGAGGCTTTTCTGAAGATCACACTGAACTTCCTGAGGAGAATGAAGCAGGATGTGCTGGCTGACTGTCTGCAGAACAGTAAGAGGCTTTGTACAAGTTTGAAATTTGACCAAAGAAAAAATTTCCAAAATGTATTTTTTCAGGGGAGGTACACATGCTATATGCTACACCCAGACAGGGTTCGACAGCACGTTATCTAATCTCATTCCATTAACAAATTTGTTTATCCAGTCATAATGTTTTGATAAAAATCCCTACTAGAGGTGCTGGTGCAGAACTATCAAAGTAGTAACTTCAGATAGTGATATGATGTATCAAGTTTTACAAGGTGATTCAAACTCCTGGAATTGGTGTGATTAGTGACATCATTTCACTCACTCAGTCGCCAGTCATTTGTTCAGACAGACAGTACTCCCAAAACTGTACAGTGGTGGTACATAGTGGTGTTTGCCTTCAAATGATTTTAGTCAGTGACGGCTGGTGGAGATTTTGGGTGGGTGGGCTAACAAATGCATTACACTCGTCAACACATCACACAGCAGCAACAGCGGCTGCAGCTGTGTCCGCATCTGGATGTGGCTGATTGTCATCTGTGGTCAGCAGTTCAGATATGAAGCACGAAACATTCTCCAGGCCCTGTCTTTGCAACCTGTGTGTTTGACAGGTGATCGGCTGATTGACTGTCTAAAAAAGAGAACTGGTCCCCGCTGGAGTGAAGTGGGAGATTAATCGGACCCCCACAGGGCAAGCTTGTGTCCCCACTAAATGCAATACAGTCCACAGTCCGTGATAGTGAATGTCTGTGTTTACCAGCTCGTTGTGTCTCTGTACAGCGGTGCGGTGACCCTCATTTAGCTGACGGGCGATGTTCACTTTACCCAGCAATGACAACTTTACGCTATTTCCAATGTGGCTCGTGCTGCATTCATGTTTCCCAATTTTGTCGGATAAATATTTTAAATCCACAATTCCTTGTTGGGTCCAAGCCGTGTCCCCTCCAAACAGCAAACATGGAACCAGAAAAATGAATTCCTAGCTACACTTGCTGTTAGCCAGTCCGTTCGCTGAAACCACGTAACACAAAACTAAGATTTTGTCGTTTGTCCTTTTGTGTTATTTGAACATCATTTGGATGATGTGTTCCCAATCTCTGTAATTCCAATTTTTCCTCCAAAGAAGAAAGAAAATTGATTAGAAAGTAAATAATCCACCTTGTTCATGTTCATGCTAACGCCCGCCATACTACGAACTAGCCTCACTGTACTGTGGCTACTGTGATTGGTCGATGGTCACTGTACTGTAGCTACTGCGCTGTGATTGGTCGAAGGTCAGCCTTTGGGCTAAATTCATTCAGCCCAAAGGCTGGACACCTGTCAATCAAATCAATCAAAAGTCAATGGAAGCTTAGCTACTAAGCTTGGGCTTAATAAATTTAGCCCATTCACAGGAAAAAACCCAAGATATATCATATATCCTGGGTTTTTCTGTCACTTTTTTTGTGCTGTTGCTGCTCTAGGTTCTACCAAAATTCAAAACAATATGTTCTAAGGTTTTTAATAATAGTTTTTCATCTTTAATGTAAAAGAGGGGGGGGGGGCTTAGCCCTGTTAGCCCATATATACCAGCCGCCCCCGATTATAGTACAGACACTGGATTTGCAGAGAGCACAGCAACGAAAAGACAGCCAAAAGTTCCCTCTGAGTCTTCGGTCAGTTTACTGACATATTAACAATAATTAGCTACAGTTAATATAATCTGCTGTCACTGACATTTGTCATTTTAATCAGCAAAAACAATGGTTAGTGCTGGCTAAAAACAAACAAACAAAAAAAAAAACACACTCTTTCTTACGTTGGTCTTTGCCAGGATAGAGATTTGGTCAAGTCTGAGCTTCGTAAATCCAAGTATTTTCCAAATGGTAACTGGATCCGAAATGGAACCAGCTATCAGAACAACATAAGTACACACTGCTACACCTCATTCACTCAAATGTTTATGAGACTGTAGGGGTAGCATGCTACACACATTTGTTCAGTATAGTAAAATATATCAAATCACCTGAAAAATATGTTGCTGTTCTCACTTGATGATCCACTTTTATGTGTTGTCATCATTCAGAGTCTCCGGTAGCATGCCAGCTTAAACTCAAATCTAACATGAAGGAGAGGTTTCAGTGTTTGTTTGAGGGGATTACCAAAGCAGGAAACCCAACACTCCTGAATGAGGTCTACACAGAGCTCCATATCACAGAGGGAGGGACTGGAGAGATCAATAATGAACATGAGGTCAGACAGATTGAAACAGCATCCAGGAAATCAGCAAGACCCGAAACAACAATTAAATGTGACAGAATCTTCAAACCTGGAAGAGATTTCCAAATCAGAACTGTGATTACAAAGGGAGTGGCTGGCATTGGGAAAACAGTCTTAACACACAAGTTTGTGCTGGACTGGGCTGAAGACAAAGCCCACCAAAATATACAGTTCACATTTCCGATCACTTTCCGAGAGCTGAATTTGCTGAAACAGAAAAAGTACAGTCTGGTACAACTCATCCATCACCTCTTTAATGAAACCAAAGAAGCAGGAATCTGCAGGTTTGAAGAGTTCCAGGTCGTGTTCATCTTTGACGGTCTGGATGAGTGTCGACTTCCTCTGGACTTCCACAACACTGAGATCCTGACTGATGTTACAGAGTCCACCTCAGTGGATGTGCTGCTGACAAACCTCATCAGGGGGAAACTGCTTCCTTCTGCGCTCCTCTGGATAACAACACGACCTGCAGCAGCCAATCAGATCCCTCCTGAGTGTGTTGACATGGTGACAGAGATCAGAGGGTTCACTGACCCACATAAGGAGGAGTACTTCAGGAAGAGATTCAGAGATGAGGAGCAGGCCAGCAGAATCATCTCCCACATCAAGACAACACAAAGCCTCCACACCATGTGCCAAATCCCAGTCTTCTGTTGGATCACTGCTACAGTTCTGGAGGATGTGATGAAAACCAGGGAGGGAGGAGAGCTGCCCAAGACCCTGACTGAGATGTACATCCACTTCCTGGTGGTTCAAACCAAACGGAGCAATGTAAAGTATCATGGAGGAGCTGAGACAGATCCACACTGGAATCCACACAGCAGGGACATGATTCTGTCTCTTGGAAAACTGGCTTTTGAGCAGCTTCAGAAAGGCAACCTGATCTTCTATGAATCAGACCTGACAGAGTGTGGCATTGATATCAGAGCAGCCTCAGTTTACTCAGGAGTGTTCACACAGATCTTTAAAGAAGAGCGAGGGCTGTACCAGGAGAACGTGTTCTGCTTTGTCCATCTGACCATTCAAGAATTCCTGGCTGCTCTTTATCTTGATTTGATGTTCATCAACTCTGGAATAAGTCTTCTGGCAGAGGACAAATCAACCCCCCAGACATCTCAACTTTTAAGCAACACATCTAAGCTCTTCTACCAGAGTGCTGTGGACAAGGCTTTACAGAGTCCAAATGGACACCTCGACCTGTTCCTCCGATTCCTTCTGGGCCTATCTCTGGAGATCAATCAGAATCTCCTACGAGGCCTGCGGACACAGACAGGAAGTAACTCTCAAACCAGCCAGGAAACAGCCGAGTATGTCAAGGAGAAAATCAGGGAGAATCCCTCTCCAGAGAAAAGCATCAACCTGTTCCACTGTCTGAATGAGCTGAAGGATCATTCTCTAGTGGAGGAGATTCAACACTATTTGAGTTCTGGAAGACTCCCTGTAGAGGAACCCTCTCCTGCTCAGTGGTCGGCTCTGGTCTTCATCTTGCTGTCATCTGAAGATGACCTGGACGTGTTTGACCTGAAGAAATATTCTTCATCGGAAAAGGCTCTTCTGAGGCTCTTGCCAGTGGTCAAAGCTTCCAAAGAATCTGTGTATGTAGATTTAATAGATTTCTTCAGATATACTTTATAACCTTTATCATTGCAAAATAAATGTAATGTATTTTATTTTTATTTTTTTATCTTTCTTGCATCTTTAGACTGAGTGGCTGTAGCCTGACAGAGAGAAGCTGTGAAGCTCTGGCAACAGTTCTCAGCTCTGAGTCCTCCTGTCTGAGAGAGCTGGACCTGAGAAACAATGACCTGCAGGATTCAGGGGTGAAGCTGCTCTCTGTTGGACTGAAGAATCCAAACTGTAGACTGGAGACTCTCAGGTTAGGATTCATCAACCTTTCCAACAGATCTGAATTTAGTCAGTTAACAAAAGACTAACCTTTGATGGATTTCCTGTGCTTTGGCAGTAGGTTCCAGCATCTCTAAGTTATTTTTCACGAGGGTCTTTTTTCTTTTGTCTACTGACTGCCTTTCTTATTAAACCCTAACATATTAGAACTGTATTTTAAATATTCTACTAAAGAAATGTCTCAAATAAAAACACAAAACCAACAACTTTCTGTTGACAACACAGTTTTTCCTTTGTGTTTGCAGGCTTTCGGGCTGTCTGATCACAGATGAAGGCTGTGTATCTCTGGCCTCGGCTCTGAGCTCCAACCCCTCCCATCTGAGAGAGCTGGACCTGAGCTACAACCATCCAGGAGACTTGGGATTGAAACTGCTTTCTGCTGGACTGAGGGATCCACACTGGGGACTTGATACTCTTAGGTATGGAAAGCCTGCCAAAGTTGGGAACCAGGTTCTCCATTAAATTGTCTACCTGATTCTTGTGCAACGTCACATCATGTGGGATGGAAGGTAGCAATGTGAATGGTTCCCTCGGGTACAACTTGCAGACTTTGTTGTCGCGATCCTATTTGTAATTTTCATAGACAGAATCTCCAGGCACAGCCGGGTGTGAGTTGTCCAGTATTGTGGCCTCAGGACTATGTCTGTGGTCTTTGTGGATGGTGTGGTTCTGGTGGTATTATCAGACTGTGACCTCCAGTGCATACTGAGGCAGTATGCAGCCGAGTGTGAGGCAGCAGGGTTGAAAGTTAGTGCCAATTCTGAGACCATGATACTGGTGGATTTCTTCCTTAAGTTGAGAATGAGTCCTCTGCCCCAAGTGAGAGGAGTTTGAGAATGTTGGGATCTTATTCATAATGGATCGGTGCCATGTCGGCAGTAATGCAAACCCTGTACTGGACTATGAGCGAGCTGAGCCTGAAGGTGAAGCTCACAATGGACCTTTTTCACAGCAGCCATTTTGACATGATAGGGTAAACACAGGCATTACCAATTATACTAATTAAGGTCCTCTACTTACTACCCCACTATTTCATGTCAAAATGGTTTCTGTGAAAAACAGGTTTCACTTATGAACATAATTTGTAGGTCTGACCTTGTCTATCCCCTTCCTTCCAGGGTTGACCATGGAGGAGAACAATGGCTGAAACCAGGCCTGAGGAAATGTAAGTGAACTTTTAGTTATATTCCTGACAACAAAGCAGTGCACATAAAATACCTTTGATATTAATTTATGGAGAATGCAGGAAGTGCAGCTTGTCAAAACAATTTACATTTTTTCAATTCAATTTTATTTGTATAGCGCCAATTCATAACAGAAGTTATTTCAGGACACTTTTCAAATAGAGCAGGTCTAGACCGAACTCTTTATAACATTATTTACACAGACCCAACAGTACCACCATGAGCAAGCACTTGGCGTCAAGGGCAAGGAAAAACGGCCTGTTAAAAGGCAGAAACCTAGGACAGACCCCGGCTCTAGGTGGGTGGTCGTCTGTCTCGACCAGTTGGGGTGAGAGAGAGAGAGAGAGAGAGAGAGAGAGAGACAGACAGACAGACAGACAGACAGACAGACAGGTGCACAGCAACAACAGTATTGGCAATGGCAATTTAGCAGGACCATGGCAGGAGGCTCCACCAGGATCCATGAGAACCTGCGAGACGAGAAAGCACAAGAAGTGAAGAAGTGAAGTTAGTAACATGAATTAATGGGACATGAATGAGTGCAGAAAGAGAGAGGAAGAGAGGAGCTCAGTGCACCATGGGAAATCCCCCGATAGTCTAGGTCTATAGCAGCATAACTAAGGGATGGTTCAGGACTCACCTGATCCAGCCCTAACTATAAGCTTTATCAAAGAGGAATGTCTTAAGCCTACTCTTGAATGTGGTGAGGGTGTCTGCCTCCCGAACCACAACTGGAAGCTGGTTCCACAGGAGAGGAGCTTGGTAACTGAAGGCTCTGGCTCCTGTTCTACTTTTAGAGACTATAGGAACCACAAGTAGCCCAGCATTCAGAGAACATAGTGTTCTAGAGGGGTAATAGGGTACTATGAGCAGTGCCTTTTTATTCACAAAATGCCCGTTAAGTGTCATGCAAGTACATTTGCCCCAAAGTGCCACAAATGAATTATAGCAATTAAACTTGCTATGCAGCTACTGTACTGCTGCTGAATGTATTATAGGGTTTGTGGAATCTTTAACTTCCACTTGGCAAAACGGAGTTTTAAAGTTGCAGTAGGTAACTTTTATAAAAATACCTTTTTGTCATATTTGCTGAAGCTTTCACTATATCCTGACAGTAGTACATGAGACAGATAATCTGTGGGAAAAAAATCTGATTCCCATGGTCCATCCTTGTGCTCCTAAAGGCATTAGCAAGAAACCACCTGGCCTGGAGGAAAACAACCAATCAGAGCTGAGAACGTTATAAAGACAGTTTGGGTTCTCAGCTCAGGGTTCCAAAGTAGCTTCCACACCCTGGGAATGAGACTCAACCATCAACTATCTTCAGTATCAGTTCCGATTTGTTGTTTTTGTCGAGGCCCCATGGACCTTGCAAATGCCATTAGGAGCACTAGGAGGAGTCAGAGGAACCTGATTTTCCCACAGATTATCTGTCTCGTGTAATACTGTCAGGATATAGTGAAAGTTTCAGCAAAAATGACAAAAAGGTATTTTTATAAAAGTTACCTACTGCAGCTTTAAAATTGGTAATTTGGTGCCTTTTATCAAAATGCCCCAGAAGTCATCTTTATTTTTTGTTTCTTTCTTGTCTTTGTTTTAACTCTATACTTTATATTACAGTGCTGTATTGTCTTATTCTGTCCATCAGATGCCTGTGAACTCACACTGGATCCAAATACAGCAAACACAAATGTTTTCCTCTCTGAAGAAAACCGGAAAGCAGAAACAGTGAGAGAGACGCTGCCATATCCCAATCACCCTGACAGATTTGACTTTTTATATGCAGTAATGTGTGCTAATGGTTTGACTGGTCGCTGTTACTGGGAGGTAGAGAGGGAGGGATGGCTTTCTATAGGAGTGACTTACAGAGGAATCAGTAGGAAAGGAGATGACAATGACTGCAGGTTAGGAAGGAACGACAAGTCCTGGGCTCTGTTTGTGTCTGTTGATCTCTTCTCTGCCTGGCACAATGACAGATCAAAAACTATCTGTATCCCACCATACACTCTCCCACAGAAAGTAGCAGTGTATCTGGACTGGCATGCTGGCACTCTGTCTTTCTTCAGAGTCATTTCTGACACACTGATCCACCTCCATACCTTCCACTGTACCTTCACTGAACCCGTCTACCCTGCATTTGGCTTTAGGTTTGGATCCGCAGTCTCTCTGTGTCAGTTGTCAGAGGACGAGTCAGCCTCTGGAAACACAAAAACCTAAATAAACGAGTAGAGAAACATAATAAATGCAGCTGCTTCTATATAGGGTACAAACATGGATGCATAAGGCTATGGTGCACAAGCCTAGGGGCACAAGGGGGTTCCTCTGTTTGAAGTGATTAAAATGTCTAATTGGGGAGGCAATCAGACAGAAAAACAAATAGATACGACTAAAAAGGGACGCAAATTGACTAAAAAGAGCAATAAAATAACCAGGCAAAACAATGACAAAGAGAAGGAAACAATGATAGATTGACTCAAAACAACTAAAGAGATGTAAACAATCACAAATTGACTCAAAACAACTCTCACTATATCCGGACAGTAATACATGAGACAGATAATCTGTGAAAAAATCAAATGCCTAATGATAAAAATCAAACAACAGGCATCATTTTCTTTAATGAATCCTGCTAGTTGTTCTTTGTGATTTATTTCAGTAAACAGAGTGAGGAAGGGACAGGCTGGGGTTTGTGCTGTTAATGTGATATCACTCTTGTACAGCAGCCAGTGTGCATGAAGATTTCAGTGACTAGACTTTATATGAATGCTTTGCTTTAATGGTCACAAATTAGTGACTGGAATGTTTGGCTAACACTTATCACAACCTTTTTTCTTTATTAGTAACAGCCTGCATGGCAACTGTAATTCAAGTATGTAACTGAAGATATTCTATATATTTTAAAGTAATTGTATTCATTCAAAACCTGTTTCTCTGTGCCATAGAGCTCCATTGTTATTCTAAAACTATTAAAAACAGGTCATTGAGCCACACTGTTGCACCACATTCCTTCATTACCATGATCCCAGTTTATTTGGATTCAATCATACACGGTCCTGCTGCCCCGAATATTCACTAGAGGAGTGGTTACCAACCTTGGGATCAGCAAAGCTTTACAGGGAGTCGCTGTACCTTTCTGATTTTAAAGGGTGTAAAAACAACCCTAAAACGTACAGTGGGCCTATATCTGCACATTTCAGAGCTCAAAGAAGTCTTCTGATAAACAGTCTTGTCCTGGATTAGAACTATTGCCAAGTACCAGGGAGACAAAAACACTGAATGTCAAATAAGCCTTTTACATGATTGTTAAAAGCAAAATACATAGTATTAAGAAAATCCTAAAAATACCAGAAAAACTCCTGTAATCCAATAATAGGAAATCTGCTCAAAACTCATCTTCACTTCCTGCATTCATTGTAGTGTCTGTTTTGAATAGAATATGAAATATCCACAAAATATCAGGTCATCAGCTTCTCCTTGAAGTGTCCTTTAAGGGAAAGGGTTGGAAACCAATGCACCAGATGTAGATTAATCCACCAATTAAAGTAATCCTTAGCTAATACCATTTCCTCCTGTTTTCATACGTCACTCATTTACCAGCTGTCCACGAAATCAGAAACCAGTCATTTTACATCTTCAGTAGGAACCTTCCCCATCCTCAGAAGGTATTGTCAGACATGGCTTTGGTCCAATAATGGTAGTTATTGTAAATAAAGTACACATTCAATTACAAATTTTTTCTTCAGGGCTTTATTTAACTCAGTTAATGTGTTACCAATGACAAATCACTAATGCGGATGATCAAGGTGACGCAAGATCACTTTTTATATACACATTTCTTCTTCATTCAGACCAGATTTTATATTCATTAAGGCTGACATCATTTCATGTAGATATCAGTGATGACTTCAGGACATTATCCAACAAAATGTACAGAAGTTCTATTTACAGCCTCAACCTCAGTCAGGTTGAGTAGACAGGGCTTAAACATGACCATCAGCAGCACAGCACGTTGACTGAACAGGAACTTCTCCACTCATTCAGCCAGCCTGGCAGGAAACAAAGCACAGGAGTTAGCAGACAGCTCGTGCTCAAGTCTAGTATGAAGACTACTAAAAGCAGCATGTTTCAGGTCTTCAGTCAGGTTCTGGTAAATGGTTTTTACTTAACCTGTGCCAAGTCCTGAGGTTTTTCTCCCAATACAGAGATTCCCCAGCAGAGAGGTGGTCTCTGCCACGGTAGTACATGATTGGGTTTCATTGTCTCTACACTACATACAGAATACTGACAGACTAGCAAACACACCTGAGGGTGAGACTCAGTCCCTTGTTTTGCCCCGTGCAGGCCAGTTGCTCCACATGCACCTGGAGAGAAATAAAGAGAAGTTGGTGCAACCAGAACCACACTGACCACTGCTGACAGCCAGCTGCTATGCTCAGGGATTAAAGTTCACCATGATGTTTGTCTGCATGATGTGTTATATTTTTCATTCATCACAGCATGGAACTCGACTGTTTGAATATAGAAAAGTAACCAGTTCATCCACACTCACCCTCAGTCAGCCTGCAGCGTGACCCGTCAGCTCTGCACTGAGCAGCTCATCAGAGGCTCCTCCTGCAGCACAAGCAAACGTTTAGGTCAGACAAGTTTAAGTTTAGGTAGAGTTTAAAATGCACAAAGCCACAATTGTAGTCATGTCTTTCATAATGCTACACGTGTGAAGAAGCTGCAGTAGACAAATGTTTAAGTCTGACTTTTCTAGAAGCTTGCTCCTCACTGGTGTAAAGTGATCCCTTAGACATCCCTCAACAAGGAACAGCATCACTTAGAACACAAATACAGGCCTGTCGTTCAATTTATAGAAAAGCACACTTATCACAATATTGTAAGAAATCTAAATTTATATTTCCCCCTCTACAAACTGAGCCTAAATGCAACCTTTACCAGTAACCACTGACAATGCAAGCTAAAGCTAGAGGGTTTTCTGGAGTTGGGGTACAGGTTGAACCTGGTGGCAGTGGGAGAGAGTAGAGCTGCAATGATAGTTGATTAATTTTAGTCAAATATTAATTCAATCTTTGAGTATTTTTTTAAAGCATTTTCTGACACTGGATCAGACAACTTGGCAATTATAAAAACAATGGTTAGTTGCAGCCCTGATGGTCAGGCTTACGTAGAGCACAACCCCAACCCAAAAGACTGCATTTGTAAAAGCCTGTGGTGTAACCAAATGTCCGGCCCTGCACTAGGCCTGTCCTGCTGTTGGACCAGGACAGGCCACTCTCGTTGGGCCGCGCTCTGCAGCAGCTCAGAAGCAGCAGACTCTAAAACAGAGCCCACACAGCTGAGACCAGGTACAGAGTCTTCCTCTACCAGCACTGTAACACTGAGCCAGACACACATCGCCGGTCAGCTGACTTAGAGCTGGGGTGGATGGGAAGGAACCACCATGTGGGTTCTGCTACAATAAAGTAGAGCAATCTATCCCTGTCATCTTATTGTTAAAGTTCTGTATATTTACCTTTAGTGCCAAAGGCAAGGCAGGAGGTTGGTAGCCCTATCCCATGGCGGTCGCTCTGCCTTCAAGTGTGTTCAGTCCGGGACCCAGCCTGTCTGAAAGACAACATGATCACCACATTAGTGCAAAATGATTAAATCCTCTCAAACATTAGCAGGGCGGCAATCTACAGTCAGGCTCTGCTGCACGTGGAAGTCTCCTCAAGACCACAAACTGCAGCAGGGACTGTTGCATCAGCAGTGTTGATGGTGGCTGTGCAGTTTACTTCATTCACAGTGACTTCGGAACCAGCTTCAACTAGACAAATACTGCTTATACATACACATGATATAAATACACCAGAGATCCAGATTTCCTTCTTCGATACCTCATGGCATAACAGCACTCAATATTGACTGAGGGTGACCAATCACAAGTGTTCAGCATACTACTTCGCTTCCTAAGCAGCTGTGGCTGGAGGCAACATGCATGAGTCAGCTAGTCTGAAATTTTCCAGTTACCGGTAGTTGGGATTTTAATACCTGCACATATTAATTACATAGTAAGCACTTCACTGAATCATCAAATCGAGAATTGTATACATTTTATCATCTTTAACAAACCAAATTATGTGCATTAATGCAATAATGAGAACTACATAAGAGCCTGTGTATTTGTAGCAACGCTGGATAAATTAAGCCCATTAAAGTTTGTCAATTAGATTTTTTTCCCTACAAATGTGTTTTAGCACCAATGTTTAATTATTCAATAGATATATTTTGAGAATAAAATGCTTAGTCAACAAGTGTCACATTACCGAGTGAATGAGTCTGACCGCCTGGAAGAACGCACGAGGGTGCGTACTGTTAGCATTTCCCGGGTTATGTTAGCTCCATTAGGAGGTCATCTTCTACCCACCAGGAGCGGGAAACACTGACGGTACCACAATGAGCTCCTCTCCCTTTACTCACCGGAGGTTTAATATTTCTCCTCGGCGCTAAGTTTGTGCTCTTTGTGCGGTGTCCTACCGTACACATTGCGCAGTATCGGTCTGTTTCAGCTAGCGGCAGCCCAGTTCTTGCGCTCATGTGCTTGGTGTTCCGCAGAGATCGTATAACTCTGTAACACTGCACGTTAACGATGTCAGGACACTAACTAACACTAACCGCCATTTTGTCCAAAACTACCGTCAGACGTTCACCTCTCAGTGAGCTACCAACTGTTTCACTCTGCAGTGAGGGGTTTACTTCCTTCAGTAACGTGTATGCATCCGCGCTGTTACACCAACACTTGTTAAAAGCAGCTTAAATACACACCTTACGGACCACCGAGCCGGACAGACATCTGCAGAGCATGCTTCCAGCAGACAGAGAGACAGAGCGGAAGTCACGCATACATTTATAAAGCAGTGTGCCGCTGTGCATTGTGGGAAGAGAAGCTCTCCCAGATGTAACTCTATGGAAGCCCATTTCCGCCAAAGCAAGGGGAAAAGCAGATTCTGTAAGTCATTATAATGAGAAGGTTTGATGACTTAGTATCTCAAAATAATTCCTCTTTAAATTATTTTTATCATGATCTGATGTCTGTGTTTTTTAAATCATATTTCAAACAGTAAGCCTCATTGTACGGGCTGATTCTGCTGTTTTTACACTAAATATCTTTAAACTGAACTCATATCAGCTGGATATAGTTTATTAAATCAGCATAAAATTATTTGTCTTTCACTTTACTAACAGAAAACAGTTTCCTCTCTGGAATAAAAGTCCTGAACTCCAGCAGCATGTTGAACACACATCAGAACTCATTCTGCAGCCACCACTGTTGTCAACAATCGTCACCATCAGCATCGCCATCTTCATCATGTTCAGCTGGACCATCCTGCTCTTCATCCTCTGCAGCGCCCTGACTCCTGCGCTCTGCTGTGATTGGCTCACACACTACGCTCAATGGAGCAGCGAGTCTCTGGGTCTCCTCCAGCAAATGGTAAGAACAATGCATATTAAATCTATGTTTAAACTTCCATTTAAACTGATTATTTCATAGATAGAATGCATTGAATGTCCCAGGACAGGTGTGGGATGTGTTAATAATAGTGTATTCGTTTATTCTTTTATAATAAAAACACATGAATGAATAAGGATTTTAAAAATGAAATCCACTGCATGGTGAGAACAGGGTTTGGACTGCAGCACAGTGGCTCAGTGGTTAGCACTGTTGCCCCACAGCAAGAAGTGTTCAAATCCCGGCTGGGGCAGGGCCTTTCTGTGTGGAGTTTGCATGTTTGCTCTGGTTTGCCCCACCATCAAAACATGTATGTTAGGTTAATTATCCAGTCAATGCCCTTGACCAAGGCAGAGTTGGTCCCCAGACGCTATACAGTGACTGCTCCTAGTACTTATAATGGGTTGTAACTTGCAGTTTTTGGAATAAAAACAATATTTTAAATATTTCAAAAATATATATATATAAATATATTCTCAGAGGAAAAAGAACAAGCTGGTTAGGGTTATAGCTACCAAAGTGAATAATAATCATCATCATTATTATTAATATTATTATTATCATTATTTAAAAGATTTAAGATTAAAAAAAAACATTGCATGTGTGGTGCAACAAATCTGTATTTTGTATTAACTGAATTGTGCACATGCTGTGTGTGTTTTATTGTTATAAACTGAAGGACACAGTTGTTAATCTTCTGTTGGTTTCCGGGGGCGGATCTAGAGAAATATCCATGAGGGGGCACAGGGTTACATGGAAACTTTAAGGGGTGGCAGAAATATTGGCTGATTTTAATTACAAACAATCACATATATCAATATTTGCTTGGAAAAGCCCCCAAATGAAGATATTTGAACTCAGAAACATTATTGTGGCACATTAGTAAAGCATTGTATAGAAATATCTAAAGGTGAAGTCAATAAATAGTTTCATTTACAAATCGTCAGACATTTGTCAAAATACATGTCTTTTTTCACTGAACATAAACCCATCACTTAGTCTAAAATATGGTCATAACAGATTTAAAGCAGAATTAATTTCTGTTTTTAACATGTTCTTTAAAAAAAATATTTAAATTATTCTGTTTAATCTGACACCAAATTGGGGTGGCCAGGCATTTTCGGGGTAGATCCGCCCCTGTTGGTTACTAATAGCTCTGCTTGTTGTTCAGTTTTTTTTTTAATGCTAGACTGGTTGCACATTTACGGAGCCCCTAAAGGGACATGGGAAAAAAAAAAAAAAATGAAACGCTTCTAGTGCGCACTAGATAATATCTTGTGCCACTAGATAGGGATCTGTGTTGTGGCGAATCAACACATGGCTAATTTTAATATTCAAATGAGTATTAAACTAATTTGTCTGTAACTAAAAAATAAATGTAAATTAATCTGTAACCTTTTTTGTTACAGACCGCATTTAAATGCCCTGTCCTGCAGGCGGACACTCATTTGTCCTCCTTTTGAGAAAATAACAAAAACGGTCCGCCTTTTGACACATTACCTTGTTAGTTTAATACTTATTGGCTTAAAATGTGTGTCAAAATAAGTAATTTCATTGGTTACATTTTCGTGATGACCTATCAACACATGGCTAATTTTAATATTCAAATGAGCCCTGTGTTGATTCGCCACAACACAGATCTGTATCTAGTGCACACTAGATCCATATCTAGTGCTCAAGATAGTATCTAGTGTGCACAAGTTGGATCTAGTGCTCACTAGATACGGATCTAGGGCTCCGTACACATTAGAGAAACACATCATAGCAAATGATAAAAAGATAATACCGGAAACGAAAAGATGCTGGCCTATATTTTAAGAATCTGATGAAGATATGCCAAATATCACTCAGACGTGTGTCATTGAAATGTCACTGCATCAAATGATGACCTGACCGAGGTCAGGTATAAAAGCTCTGCAGACATTGTGCAGGCTTCTTGCTTTGCATTTGGACACTGGTTGACCTGCTGCAGAAGCTGAAGCTGAAAGCTGACCTCCACTCTGAGAGAGAACTGTTGGAGAACTGAAGCCGTGGAAGGAATCTACCGGATAAACAGACCTCGTTGCAGAACAAACTCCTGCTTTACTGAACTCCTGTTGAAAACCAAACAGCTATGTGTGGACCCCCATCAGTGACCATCTGCTGACTGCAGTCAGCCTGAGTCAGACAATGAGTGTGCAGATGAGCCATCTTTAAATATATATGTTTTTATTATGACTCACTTAAAAGCTTCCTCAGTGTAAAGATTATTGTCACAGTTTGAGCTGCACATTTCAGAGGTTCTGTTGAAAAAACACAGATTGGGTGACAGATTTCTCCTTATAAACTGATTATTTCATAAATAGAATGCATTGAATATCCCGGGACACGTGTGGAATGTATTAACAATAGTTTATTAGTTTGAAAAAACTCTTATTTCGGTTTGAGGGAATCAAATTCTCCAAAATTATTGGAAAGTGTGCCATGGAGACAATGCAACCATTAGGAGCGGACGTTGTGACGCAATTCAATTTCAATTCAATTCAGTTTTATTTGTATAGCGCCAATTCATAACAGAAGTTATCCCAGGACACTTTTCAAATAGAGCAGGCCTAGACCGAACTCCTTATAATGTTTACAGAGACCCAACAGTACCACCATGAGCAAGCACTTGGTGACGGCGGCAAGGAAAAACTTCCTTTTAAGAGGCAGAAACCTAGGATAGACCCTTCGGCTCTAGGTGGGTGGTCGTCTGCCTCGACAGACCTGTTGTATATGAAACTGGCTTGTTGTTATTGCTCAAGTTTGGTTCATAAATGTGCAGTAAAACAGAGCCAGCGCGAGCCAGTGCACGTGACGTACTGCGAGTTGATCTACGTTCATTGGCTGCAAAGTTTTGACTTGTCCGTAGCAGGAAACAATGGCGGCTCGCCTGTTCACACACAATCTCGTATAACAGCTAAACAGTACACTAAAATATGTTTCTGAAACCATTTTAAGTGAGAAATAGTCAATGCAGTAACATAATCTAGCTTTGTATCTGATCAGCACTGCCTAGTTTGACAGTTTGAGTTTGGAGCACTGCGCTGGACAGACTCACTGAGAATGACCTGTCACTTACGAGGTAGCCACACCCAAAAGCATACAAGGCTTTATCGTCTATTTTACTCTAAATCGGACCATATATTACTAAATTACCAAATCATCCTCTTTAATATATCAATTTAGAGAAATTACAAAATAAAAGTAGGAGTCTAGTCTGGGTTCAGTGACACTCTAAGTACAATCACAGCCAATCGGAATTAAGTTTTAAAATGTGAAGTTACATTACATTACATTTTTAGTTTTTTTAAATTATTATTTTGCTATTTAACGTTTATTTCTTTTTTCTTATCTGTTGTGTTGTATATGGAGCTGCTGTAACAAGTTAATTTCCCCAGTGTGGGATCAATAAAATCAATCAATCCTCTTAATGTATCTATTTATGTATCCATGTCATTTCTTTAGAGGATGCCTTTTTCTTGGAAAGACTGAGCTTCCGTTCTGTAACAGTAAGGACAGTTACAGGATTTATATACATACTGTATATATTCTCTGTCTTTTTGTTTTTTTGTCATTTATGTGAAATAGACATTTTTGGGATGGATAAAAGTCTTTCAATCTATTTACCTGTTGTCTAAGTACTTGATACTGTCTTAATATCTTAATAAATAACATTTATTTTTAAGATATGTTATTAAAAGGTAACTGGAAAAGGTTTTGGGCCTACATTTAAGAACCTGTAACTTGAAGTGGAGTGACAAATGTCGGGTTGAAGTGTTTTTCTCACCTCCAAAACAAATCTCCCATAATACCTTGAGACAGCTTGTTGATTTCCAAAGCCATCGCACTAGGTGCACTGAGGCCTTCGTGAGAATTTCTTCACCTGACTGCTTGTACATGTAATTCGACTTTTACATGACAGTGTCTGGAAAGAGCAGGTAGGTACTGCATCGGCAATGTTCTGATAAACAAACTTTGATACTGAGCTGTTAACCAAGTCTGCTTCAAATCACTTAATCTCTGCCAGGTCACCAACATCCTTGGCCGTCAATTTTGTCTTTTAGAGGCTTAAGCGGACTCAGTTTTATAATGATATGATATGAAACTATAAGACCTAAGGCATCCATTGGTATCTAAAACATTATTAACATGTTTGTAAGAAGGCCAGATGACATTGGAAAATTATACCACCACGACAAACAAGCTTGCATGGCCATTTTCAAAGGTCCCTTGACTTCTTACCACAAAATATCTAAAGAATAACGGGTTCTGTGGGTACCCAATGGATGGAGTTCTGGATGGCCACCATGTCCCAACAAGGCTGCGACGTCAGCAAGGAGGTGGTGGAGGGATGTTTTGGGCTGGAATCATGGGAAGTGAGTTGATGGGCCCCTT